CTGTAGTCTGTGTACAACACACTTCCACACTTGATGAACGGTAACGGTCAGCTACTGCCTTCAAATTCTTTGCCAGAATGTCGTAAATACTGTTTATTTTGTGACGTCCAATTTGAGTGCAGCGCATGTCGTACACAGACAGTCGTCAGGTTGGCTGTAATCAGCCATCCATGAAAAGGAGGTGTTTATTTTCGAAAGAAAGATAAGACGTTATTTAAAATCGTTATATTTCAACACTAACGAGACCTCGGGTCACTACCGACGGATTCTATCATCAGAGGAATTTCCCGACGAGACCTCTTTTTGACGCATGGCGGAGTGTCGGACCACCAGGTCTTTGGTTTACACTCTCGGCCCCCGTCAGGGTCCCAAAGGGGGGGGGTCCCTGGAGCCCTGGAGCCCTGAAATTTCTGCTGTGGAGCCCGGAGCCCTACCATTTTACTGACTGGAGCCCTGATTCTTTTTTGGCGGTGGAGCCCGGAGCCCAAAGACATTTTGCGCTGAGCCCGGAGCCCAGCATTTTCAAGTTTGATCATTCGAGTTCCCAGATTGCATTGATTCTTGATTACTGCCTTTTTGTGTTTGCTTGTGCGTGTTAACGGGCATAAAGAAACAGAATCTGAAGAGAGGACAGTACATAATACAAGTATACGCGGTTATCTCAGTTTATAATGATGTGCAACAACGGTCCCACGCTCACCTTCATCTTCTTCTTAAGCAATTAGTGCTCTCTCTGTGGTGGTTGTGGCGTTACTTCACCCACTACCAAAAGCATAGTTTTCTCATACCACCTCCTCTTCAACCCTGACAGTCCCCTCTTCTACATCTTCGCATGAAATTGAATACTTGAGAGTTCCTTGTGACACAACAGTCGTGTTCTCGATGCCAGATTCGGTAAAATGGAATGGTAAAAGGTCCTCGAGGAACCAGAGACAGTCGTACGTCGTACCTCTCTCGCGTGTCAACATGAAACTCCACCGATGGCAGGCCTTGTCTGTCCCCAGTTTATATAAACACGCGGTTGCATCAAGCAGATCTACCTCTTTTAACTCGCTTGATTCAGTCATCTCGGAATATGAAACGAAAGCAACAACAAGGCGAACTGACCGAGCGGTCTGAGCGGTCGATAATAATGATTTAGAGAGATTAAGATTCACGTTTACGGCATACGGCAAACCGCAAACGTCAGTTGAGAATTTCTCAGAATAGAAAATAAGCAGATAAAAACAGTCCAGAGCGATTCTTATGGATTAAGCTGGCATAAAACTACTTATTTTCGTGTAGAAACAATAAACAGTAAAGGGAAAATAAGGGGAAAACTTGGTCACGTGGTACAAATTCACGTTTGCCGTTTGGCGTAAACGTGAATCTTAATGTCTCTGATCTCTCTAATAGATAATATAACCGGCTGCTTGGGTTTAAAAAATTGATCAGAATTGCTGACTTTTTTATTTGCGTATTTGATTTTGCGTTAAAAATGGAATTTTTACATATCAAGATTGTAGATCAGAGTGGAGCCCGGAGCCCTAAAGCAGATGATGTGGAGCCCTAGAGCCCTGAAATTTTCGTCTTGGAGCCCTGGAGCCCTGCATTTTTAAGGCCGGAGCCCTGGAGCCCTAAACCCCTTTGGGACCCTGCCCAGTGCTAAGCCTTGTGACTGTTCGTCATGTACTAAAAGAGATGGACTCGCAGATTGAGCATGCGCCGAATAATAAAATAAGCAAACTGAACGAAAACTGGACTTGTTCTCGATACATGAGGATCCCCAGTAGGTTTTCCGCAACCCCGCGGGTCTTGGTTTGTTTTAAGGTTGAGATTGGGGATTTTTGAGAAAAAAAAGAGGAGTATCATGAATTGGACGTAGGGAAATGACGTTTCAAAAGGCCGATATTCGCAGTAAGGAAATTCCAGTGACCAGTATGTTCTTAAATTTCATGATTTAACATAAGTTATCCACAAGTTGTGCAAAACTGACTGTCACACGCCTAGCGTTATCATACCAGTTTTATTATCCAACCATCGTGAAACAGGGTCTCCAAAGATGAAGGAATCAGTGTACTTGTTGTGGTTCAAGATTTTATCGCGAGGTTAATCTCTATTTTTCTTTGTTTTTCGGCATGCAACCTCGTCCCCAGGGCTTTTCCCTTAAAAAATGGGTGGGAAAGCCCTGGGGACGAGGTTGTTTCGGCATGGTAATTATATAGCAATAAGTTGAACAAATGAAAGAAAATCATAATTTAAATAAGAATATGGACTGAACCATAACATACACGCCGTGAGGCAGTTATTTCAAAAGATGTGCATTTTTCTCATTTAGCTTCATTTCAATTTGGCGTTTAAATGTGTCGGGCATGGAAAGTTATTCTTTCAACGTTATTTCTACGTTTAAAGAATCAAACTTTGTGACATTTAATAGACCAAAGTTTGAAGTTGCTATAAAATAGTCTAAAAGCTCTATTAGTAAGTTTATTTTGCAATCAAGTGGTCCTTTTTCCTTTTTTCCTTTGTGAGGTAAAGGAAAAGAATCTTCACGTGACCTTCCGCTTTGTCTATCCGCCGTTTTTCCTGCTACCCCGAAGAAATAAAGAATACTACTCGCAGGGTATTGTAACCCCATCACAGTTCATATAGCCCTCATCAATCCAGTCAGTTCAATGCATGGGGTTTCTTTCCCATCACTACTATGTGCTCAGTCTTTTTAAACCAGTTGGCTATTTGCAAGTGTGAACTAGGATTTGAATTCGGAGAAACCGTGAACAAATCCAGCTATCGGTCAGGGAGGAGGGAGGATCTTGAACTAGGTGCCTCCGGATTGCAAGCCATTCGGTCACGCTGACACCTATAAAAAAGGTTGTCAGTGAATGATTTCCTTTGTTAATTTTTTCCATCTTACTTTCTTTATTTCTTATGTAAAAAATATATTTTTACGCCCTATAAGGACCCCAAGCGATATCCCGGATGCCAGAGACTTTTCATGCGTGGTTTCCGTTGCTTTGACCGTAGGAAGATCACCGGCCCAGGGTATCCAAGCAATAATAAAATAAGTAATCTTCACTATACAAATAGTTTTTGGAGGTTCCTTAACACTCCTAGTTCATTTTTTGAATTCGCGACATCCTGTCAGAAAATCGCAGCTTGGTACATGCGCAGTGACGGATAGTTTTCCTTTAAGAGAGACTTCCTCCCTGCGTTGATGTCTGTGATTTAGACACCCACTTAAAGAATTTTACTTATCTTCTTTTGACGTTGGCCACTTCCAGGGATTAATATGTTAGCTAGCAAAGACGTAGTCAGAAATTTGCTTATTTCTGGAGCAGCCGTTATTTAGGAGCGTTGCGTGACGATCCCGTCAAGGTCATGCGTAGCCTGGGAACAAGTGTACCCAACATGGCTGCACGATGTCCCATGAAGATGGTTTAGCACAGCTTGTATCGTCATACGGTTCTGATAAATCTAGCAGTGAGGATGAGCAATTAGAGGAGATACAATGCAAGACCGATCAGTGTGATAAAATTAAGACAAAAGATCTTAAAGATGGCTCAAACTTTTATGACAACATTAACAACGCGGAAGCAAGGTGAGTCGTCTGTGACATGTTGAAACCACGTTTAATACATCGAAAAATTTATCGATTTGTCGGAGAAATCTGGTTTAAGAATTTAAATTCAGAGTGAAGAAAAACATTCGAAGTTTACTGAAAATACTCACATACATTGTCGTGCGAGTTAGGATACAGTCCGAGTCAGCGAGCCATGCAAAAAAGATTCCAAAAAAATCATGAGGGAAAAAATAAGCAGAGTACGGAAAAAATAACTGTGAAAGCTAACACTTGTAAATGAGTTTTTATCCCTAAACAACGGTTAACCCAAATTCGTAAAATGAGTCCTTAACCCTAGTCAGTAAAATGAGCGAAATCAGTGAAAGTAGACCAAGACTGCGTAATTCTGCGAATAATTCCAGCAGCATGCCCAATCCCGGGGGGGGCACTGGGGTATTTTTTGGGTGGGTATGTGCCGCCCGGGACTCCAAATGGGCACCCCGTTCTAAAAAAAAATTCCCCTAAAATTGATACCCCGTTCTAGAAATGGGCCAATTTTTTATACCCCGTTCTAGAATTCGCCCTAAAACTGATACCCCGTTCTAGAAATGGGCCAATTTTTTTATACTCCGTTCTAGGCTGCAACAAGAGTATAACAGTTTGCTTCAGTAACGCATTGAGCCGTATTTTTAAAAGCAATTTGTCCTTGAATAATTTCAAATGGTTGCTTACAAAACTGGAGCTTTCATGCGTTCGAAATATTATACCCCGTTCTAGAAAACGCCTCTGAAATGGATACCCCTTTCTAAATCAGGAGCTTTAAAATCACGACCCCGTTGGGCGGCACATACCCGTATAGGTAATGTATGGGAGTACCCCCCCCCGGGTGCCCAATAATAGGCGCCCGCTTCAGACTCCGTACTTTTCATGAGCCGAACCTCATAAATTGAATTAAGTACACGGAAAGTTCAGCGTCTGAATCAATTAGGAACGCCTGTTTCAATTTGGAACGGCTCAGCTGTTCTTTCTGCTTAGCCTGGCCGTAAATTTTGACTTTGGAACGCCTTTGATTTAGATGCCGAACATTTCATCTACCGAACCTAACTGCAATGTATTTTATAAGCAGTTTGACCGAAATGAGTATTTTTTTCTCTTTCTGAATTTAGTTCGGTGGGAATTAAGATCGGCTTCTGAATCAATTCAGCTGGTCTAAATAATTTAAGTCGGCCTTATTTGAATTAGGTTTGGCTTATGAAAAGTTCGGCGTCTGAGCCAGGCTAAGCAGAAAACTTTTTTTCATAAAACTTTATTTTTTCCATGGCTTGCTGGCTCGCAGGCAAAATGTCCAGCCCCTTGTCATGGCTTATATCACATTAGGGCAACAAATCCAAATTCAGTAGTTGTAGTTCGAAAGAAGTCGCGAAAACAGTAGTAAGGAGTTAAAGTTAAGGCACTGATGAGATTGTGTCAGATTGAATGCTACGGGCAAACCATTTGTCATATATTATTTCAGTATCGGAAAGCATTGATTTACATGTAAGTGTCTGAGTTTCTGAGACACGGTTGGGGGTCTTAATTTTTTGGGGTCTGGGAGTCACCACCCTGGCTTGGGGGGCTTATAAGAACACACTAACCTTGCAAAAATAGCCAACCAATAATACTTCCAAGCCAGGGGGTGCTTAAAAGCAATAGCAAACGTTATATAAAATACGAGAGGGGTTCACTGGTTGACTTCAGGACAGTTATGCAAGCCCTAGACGAAGTTAATGGTTTGCATTATCAGGTGTTTTTATCTGGCCATGCAAAGACAGGAAAAAAGTTTTCTATTACTTTATAAAATAACTTTTCTGAGGTAAAATAAAAATCTTTGTTTAAAGCTCTTAGTAAAAGAGAAATTCTTCCCTGTCACAAAGTATTGTAGGCAAAGTTTTGTGTGCATAACCAGTTCTTGTTTTGTAGAAAAGATTCTTTCCAAAGTAAGATTTTTTCCCACTTAAAATGTCAGTGTAGTAAAGTTAAAGAAAGTGTGACACTTACATGTAGTTTACCTAAATGTGACCTGTTACCGGTAGTTCTTAGTTGATAAGTAGTTATTGACATTTATTAGCACTTAACATTAAGAAATTAAACTTTGTAATTTTTCGACCGTGTCAAAAACCCTTACCATTTGTTCGTCACATTAGTGTTCTTGATTATGAAATGAATTCACACAAACCTCTTGAGATGAAGGAATATGTTAAATACCTAGGAGTTTATATTGATGCTGATCTTTTCTGGAACACCATATCAAGCACATAATCAGAAAAGTTGGTGTTACAGCAAAGTTAAGACATTTTGTTCCTAGTCAAACTCCATTGAGTATTTTTCATTCCCTAATTTCACCTTATCTAACCTATGGTATATGTGCTTGGGGCTCAGGTGCTAAAGTTCATACAAACAAATTATTGATTCTTCAGGAAAAAGCACTTTGATTGATGTTTTTCACTAAACCTATGGACCATGTCATTCCCTTTTTCCAGCAAATGAGGTCTCTGACCTTAACCTTTTTGTATTTTAAACACCTCTCGTTATTGATGCATGACGTTTATCACCAAGCTGTTCCAAGTAGTCTAAGAGGCATGTTCAGAATAACAACCGATGTACATAACTATAGAACCAGGTCTGCATCAAACCAACATTATCATGTTGAGTACTCTCGAACAGAAAAAATGAAAAAATCATTTGCGAGAACTGGTGCTCTGATGGAATGGTCTACCTAAATCTCTAAAGTCATTGCGGAAATCTCAATTTAAATCCAAAATCAAACAAATTCTCCTCGAAATTCCTCAGAAAACACATGACTATACTGATGTTCCCCCAATACTAAATGTGATGTTAGGAAACAAAAGTGATATAATATCTTATATTTTTCATTTATTTCCTTGTCTGCCACCAGTATCATTATTTTAACATTAAGCTTTAGAATAATATCTGTGACAGACTACAGATCAGCCTCTGTATTTTTATGATGACTAATTTTCTTTGATTTTTAATAGGATTTCTTTTCCTGCCTCGAATAGTGTTTCTTTGCTAATTTGCAGGGTAACTGAGTATTGAGATTTAAAATATGTGTGAATAAAAGTTCTGTTGTTATCATTGTTGTTACAATCTGGAAATATCATTACTGCTACGCAAGCAAGCAGCGAATATGTGCTTTTTAATTTGTGCAAAGCGTAAAATAGGATGTGCCTATAATTTGCAAACTATAACTCCCTTTCACTGATAGGATTTTGTGTAGGATATGGTTATTTTTCGGATCTAGTCATACAGCATGAAATTAAATAATTACATTTAAATTAAGTGCATAACAGTGCATTATATTTAGGACATTTACCAGAAGGGAAACCACATATAATCCTCTTTTAATAGCAGTTATCTAACCACATATAGTCACTTCCATCATGTATAAAAGCACACTTATTTACCACAGGTTCTATGATTGAGTCTTTAATTATGACTGTTCCTGTAGTTCACCTGGCATCCTTGATCCAGTCATGAGTTACAACAGCTAGAGGCAACAACTAGAGCTTGTTTCTACACAAGTCGAGTCTTGTTCCCAACTCTGAAATGCTGTTAACCCAAGAATCGACTCAGCAAAAACAAACAGTCAACACTCATCTGATGAACTCGATCACGTTATCATTCCATTTACACCATCAGCTGCTTAAGGGAAAAATATAATGTTGCTTAAAAAGTATAAACTATTATAAGCAATAAAGCTTAGAGGATTTATGGGTACATGTATGCATTTGTCATTAGCAAAGCAAATTCAAAATTCTTTAAACAAAAGTTTACAATCATTGTCACAAGCTAGCAGCTTTTGCGGATCGATGCAAATTCCTAGTCTAAGAGTACTTTGTTTAAGGTTTGTCGTTGTCTTTTTGTGTTTTCCAAGAAAGTTTATAGGTCCTACCTTATGATTTTAAAGTGTGTGTTGGCCATATGGCTCTGCTCTTTTAAACTGTAGAGATCTCTGATGTGCCCGGCACAGGTGATGTTGTAAGCTTATCGCAAAGAAAACTGGAAACTGTTTGACGATCTCGTAAAGCTTTGATACTGCATGATACATTTTTCTGGAAAAAAACTTTGAAATTACAATGCTGATAAAGTTCTGCCCTTATACATCCGTTGGGTGCCGTTGTTCATGGTTTATACTTTTTAAAAGACAACCTTTTTTCAAGCAGGTGTATACTTTATATTTTCATTACACACCACCTTATCTGATATCTGTATGGGTAAAATATCAACTTTCTGTACTCAACACCTTCCTTGCAGCTGCACTTTATGTATTTTTGTTTTTGATGCACATTTTTTTCATCACACAGAGGAATATTACCATTGCCTAAAGGAGTACTTGACATGTTTAAAGAAGGTAAACTGAAACATTCTTAATGCTCACCAACTACCAGGCACTTCAGGCGATATTGTCACAGATAGTAGGCTGTTAATTAAGTCATAACATGATTTTTATAATAACTATAATCTTGATAGGGTTTGTTAAGTTATGGAGGGGGAGGATGATGTTTGGTCTAGATATACTTCATTACTGTCTTTGTAGTTTAATGATAGCTAGTTGAACATGACTCTTGAAATTTGGTATGTTATAGTTTAGAGCAGAGTTTTAGTCAGGAAATTGTAATTCTGCATCCAGTTAGAGTAATGTTTGAGCTTACATGCCATTTGTTTAATATCATAATTATTATGTCTTGGTTCTTAGTTAGTCCTGCTGCGTCCATATAGTCAATGTACATTCCACTTGTTTTTAACCTGAGTGTTGATAGTGTTGAAAAGAAACTGGTTTGTTGTTTTATATCATAGATACAGAACCAGAAGATGATCCATGTACACATGATGGACGGATAAGATCCTTCTCACACTTCCCTGGTAACTGGGCTATGCATGTTTATATCCCATGTGAGTGTCACAGTTCCAGTCATTTTTAATACAATTTTTGTTAATGCATTTCATTTGTTTCTTGTGGACTACTGCATACCACTTTTCATAATGTTGAATAACTGGTGCTGATATTGACGTGATTTGTATGGTGCAGGACACATCTTGAGTCAACCTATAGGAAAGTGACATAAGTTTTTATTTGTAGCGATTATAAATGCCATAAAGCAGAGTTTGAACTAGAAGTGCATTTGCAATTGCTTGTTGGTAGCCTTCAAAAATTTCAACAGGGCCCCTCTCTCAAAAGCTGAATTATCTTCACTGCCTGACTGTTTGCCAGAGTTATTTTTTGACAGTAAAAAAATGCAAGAGTAAGTGTAGAGGACAGGGTGGATTTGTGGTTACTATTTTGAACCTTTACACTTTCAGTAATAATAAATTGGTAATTAAATAGAGCCCCCAAAAATCCCATAGTTTGAGTATGCCCTTTAAAAATTTTGGTTTTTGGAACCCCTGTGACACTTACATTAAAGCCCATTTTTTCTACCAACATAGAATGGATTCTTTAGTCTTTTTGCACTTTTTTCAATTAGTGATGCAAGTTTTTATTAAGTAAAAAGTACAGGATTCAGACTCCCCTTTTATACCTCAAAAATGGTATTCTCTTTTTTCATCTGATGTCACCAAAATTCACACTTGGGGAAGTATTGATTCTTTGGATTTTCTACTTTCATAAGGTATAATATTACAGCAGCTAAACACCTTTATTCATACAAATTTTTGGTTCAAAAGTATGTTTGATGCTGGGAAAGCTCTTTTGTGGGTTAAAAACATCGCTGATTTTTGGAGATTTTGGTATCTAAACATTCCTTGTATTATTAGAATAAATATTACTTAGTTGTGATTTCCTCAAGCGAAGCAATAAATTCACACATTTGACAGATTGTTTCTGCTGGTTTCTAGCAGCCATGTTTGTGCCCCTCAAAGGGACACCAAACATTCATAAAACACTATTTTTTCCAAATTTTTTTGCATATTAAATTTTGCACAGACGTGATTCTTGGCAAGGCTTTTTGTATAATATTCACCTTCTTTCATTTCCCACATTCTGGACTTTCTCTATTTATGGTTTCCATTTTTATTTTTGATGGTGTGATAGTCAAAACAAAGAATTCTTACAATGTAACTACCATTATTTTGCTTAAATGAGGACCTTATTTTCAAATATTGATATTTTGCATGCATGCATTACTTCTGCAGTCAAAGCCAATGTACATTTTGAGAGTCTTGTGGCATCATTGGTTGATAACCTGTCAATCACCATGTCATGTGATGTGCACATGTTTCCCTGTGATGAGTTACACATGAGTGTGTCCAAGACAGTTCCCATCCGACATTACTGGATAGAACCAATCACAGAGCAGCTTAGAAATGGACTTAGCAGTCTCAAAAGGTAACTCACATAATTTCTTTTTTTTCAAGTTACTGCCTAAATCTGAATGATTATTTTAATAAGTATTAAATCAAAGATGATGGCCATTTTGAATATGTTATAGTTCCCAACTGCTAAAACAACCGGGCCATGATTGTCGCACTTTTGTTTACCCCTTGCTTTGTTGCTAGGTAACTGCAGACATCCAAACCGATATGCCAGTTCCGAGTTCCCTCGGGCCTCTGTATCAAAACGAGGTTAAGTGCTCAGCCTTTGATATGGAAATGATTTTTCATTCTCATGCAAATAAAACTCATTTTCACAAGAAAGATTGTGGACTTGGCCTCATTTTGAAAGTGAGGGTTTTTGGAACTCGGAAGTGGCCTATTGAAAGAAAAAAATATAGATGGCCAAAGCAAGATCACACCTCACTTAGCAATCCTCGTGGGATTCACCGCATTGCGAATTCCAACAAAATTATAAACCTCACTTCACTTTGGCATATGAATAGCTATACTTTTTATTCATAAGATAAATAAAAGTTCTTGAGTATCACTGATTGTGTATGCTGTACATGTTTCAGCTTTGTATGTGTCCTTCAGTGTCCTGGACTGTACACTAATGATGAGAAAACAAGGTACTGATCTTTAGCTGTGTCATCTAATATTTGGCGATTAATCATGGGTGACTTGTACGTAATAAAGTTCTATATGTACAAGTGGCATCTGGAAGATGACAGATGAGCTTAGTATAAAAACTTAATATTATTATTATATTTTGTCATACAACAGTAATAGCATTATTATATATATAATATGTGAGAATCTGATATAAGGACACTTTGTGGAAATTTTAGCAACAACTGCAGTTGTGAAAAACCAGCTTTTTCTTCAAAGTTTTTCTGTTGGCTGAAAGCGGGAAGATCAGCCTATCAGCATGCAAGGCATGTAGAATTTTCACTGAAACTTTTTTTAAAATCTTTTTATCACTAATGTTCCTTGTAAGTTGGTAAAAGTTATCTTCTAATGCAGGGAGTTTTTCTTTGTACCATGGGTAGGGCGTGGGATGAGCCAAATTATAAAACAATCACTCTGTGCTCACCAAAGCTCGTTCCCTTTTTGATACTAATGAACCAGGTTTTCTAGTACTTTGGATCTTTTTGTTACACCATACTTTTATAAACTTTACTTGCATTACTCTACATTTTCAGATCATTTGTTGCCCTTAAAATCATGACAGAAAATAAAAAGGTGAGCGAGTGTGCTGTGTGTGCGACAAACTGTTTGAAGGTCGAGCCAGGAATGAATGTCACAAGTGTTTGTGTTGTTGCATTGGTACCTTCTCACAAACCCCGCCCCATTTAACATTTGAAGTTTTAAGGTTATTGGATACCTTCATGGGTGTGTCATAAAAACCCATGTCAAGTAAGAGCTTATTGAACCAGCTGTCTTAATAAACTAATAATCCTTTGAATACTTCCATGGTCGATATTTTTATCCTCTTTTAATGCGAACTTCCAAAGCAGCTTTTCAACAATTCAACCATAAGAAAATTTGCTAAAATGTGACACATTTGGCGAGCTAGAGTCATTGTGATAAAGTTTGGAAGAGTGTGAAAACACTTCAGACCCTTCACTTGTTTACCCCTGTTGTATTATATTTGATTTACTTCATAGTATATGTATTGTGCAATACGATCTGTTATAGACTACATTCTCCTTAGTAAGCAATCATATTGGTTTTCAGTTCCAGGCCATCGTTAATGTGGTAGACAGGGTCTTTCAGCAATTTTCTCTCCCATCTTTCTACAAGGTAAGGAAGAAATAAACTTATTTAAACAGAAATGCTTCAAGTAAACCCACACAGTTGATGTTTATAACTGATATGCACTACCAAGAGAGAAAGTCGCTTATTGATATGGTTAATTTTTCGATAGAATGAAGTGATGAGTATATCAATCTCATTTAATAAAAGTTCAATGTACACTTTGCAACTGTACAGTGAGAATTTGCGTGTTATTTTCATAACATAGCTCCACTGTTCGTTTCAGTATCAGTAAATACTGTTACATGATTTCCTCTTCAATTGTGAAGTACGCCAATCTCTACTTCACCTTTGGCGGATAACTGCGAAAAAAAGAACAGAAATGTTGGTACGTAAGTACTTTACAGTTTGTATTGTTTATTTGTGTGAAGGATCCTTCATTCCATGTGAGCGTTGCTTGGCTTCTTGGTGATATCTGTTCTACTGAGAGGGACAAACTTCAAACTCAACTTCAGGTAAAACCTTCTTGAAACAATGGGTATCTCACTATCGTTATCATTAGGTTAATTTCAAAAATAAGGTCTGTCTTAATTAATATACCTTACCTTCCTCTTTTTAATCTGTTGTGTATAAGGCTTTGACAAACCCCTTCCATGAAGTGTGTCTTCAAGTTTCCATAACAAAAAAGATTTTACGGGGAGGAGTTATTATCCCCTCTCGCAGCTCCCGACGGATGAAAACGTGCTGTATTTGTTGGCCTTTCCTCTGGAACCTGCTCTGTAGTACGGTTGAACCTGCCAGGAGCATTTAGTTTCAACTGCTATAGCCACCAGGCTCATCAAGGCACGCTACAGTTCAGCTAAGGCCATGTCTATACTTTATAGGATAGCTTTTTATACCGACATAAAATGCTCTCCGGTACAGTATGAACGGCAACGGAACAGAACTGGAACAAGTTGGTCACACACATCGAACATCGAGCCGGAGCGGGTGGCTGTACAATCAAAAGATAAGGCACCTCCTCAAAATCGAGTTAACCCTACGATTCTTCAGTCATTTTCTTTAACTCTATAAGAGGGACACCTGTCCATTAATATAGGCCTTTTTTCAGTCCCAAATGTGTCTGTGTGAGAGAATTGACTGTAGTTTGTGTGACACCACATATTTGCCTCTGTAAATGCCACTCAGTGTATTTATTCTACTTGCAATCAAATTAAGACGCCTTGGTGGTTATGTGCAAACAGAGCCCCTATCCGGTATGGTAAGAACTATCTGCTTAAGTGTGAAGACATAGCCTTAAGCTAAGCCGCTTCTGGCTATGGTAGACTACACCAATTGAACAGACTTGACTTCGCAAACAAATGCATTTGGTATTTTGGCTTAATTCAATATTTTTACATTGCTCATATCTTATCTTGTTCACCCGCCAATTTTTTGAATATCAATGTTTCCATTGTCTCCCGAGTATTAAAGATGTCTCTAGAGAAACTAAAGAAAATTCATGTACATTTTTCTTTTTCCTATTTTTTTTTTTGGAGGGGGGTGAGGTGGGGGGGCGAAAAAGGCGCATTAAAATGGTGGATGGTTGAAAAAAAAGCTTCTTTGCTGGGTTAAAGTCTGTTTCATAAGTTCCACGCTAGTTTTTGGTTCTCGTGTTGATCTCTGTCGGTGTAATTTCAATTCTTCGGCTTCCTATACTTCTGTCTTTTCAGTATCAATTAACGAGCAGTCTAACTTAGTCCAAAAAACTGGGTCTTGGGCGAATTCCTCTGGAATCTGTTGTTTAACGATATGGTAGGACAGTATAGTTTCAATTGTAATCGCACGAATCAGTTATATTTGAACTGTACTCGATTTGAACACTGATTCAGGATATCATAATTATCATACGTGACCAGAAGAATCCGTGAACCCCCCACTAATCCCTCACTTCTCGACAATACTTATTAACCCCCGCCTCCCTCCCAACCTAGTGTACTCATAAGTACGAGCAAAACCTGGTTTCTATACATCGCTGCCCTGCTAAAGATACGTAGATGTACTACATAATCCAAAAAAAGTGATGAAGTGCACTTTCTGGGTTTGTTACCTCGGGTAATATTGGCGCCTTTTACCTTTGTAGATTACGAATACCGGTCACACCCCATGCCCAGTGACCAAACGCAATGGCACATTGCTGCATGGCACACAAATAAATAGCTGTTTCTCTCTGAAAAAGGAGATTAGCCGCACTCCGGTAGATCCCATTTCCGGATAATACATCTTATTATTCATTCAAAATATTTCGCTGTTTCTGATTGGCTCAAATAGCGCGGCTAATTCTTTATAGCCAACCGCCGCTGACCAAATTTGGAAGATGCGAGCAATATACCATCGATTCGATGGTGTATTCGATTGAAAACGCGGTTGATCGATAATTATATATATATTGCCCTGGGAACGAGGCTGCTTATTGGGCAAGAGAACATTGTTTAACCTCGTTTCCATGCGCGGCCCTCCAAGCTGTTTTTTCATGGGGAACTTAAAAAGTGGACCTATGGCTATCCGAAGACGAAATAGCTGAATTTCTGACCAAAAGTGAACTGAAAAAATGAAAGAATACGCAAAACAACTTGCTCGATGGCTGTTTTTGAGGAGTATCCGTAAGAAAAAAACATCTCTGTATCTCCTAAAACCGTGCCGAGAAATAGGCCAAAGTTTCGAAGAAATTCAATCAGGAGGTAAGCTTGTTAAGATGGTAGAAACATTTTGAATGAATATTAAAACTATTACTGAATTCTGCTTTTATATGATGTAGAGATCTCGGACGATATCGTCCTGATGTTATCTTCGATCTGTATAATTCTTCACATCATACTCAGCCCCATTCAATAATTGCTAAATAAATAGATTTAGCCGGGCTTCCAAAGACTTCCCTCCCCCTCCCGCAGTCTGTACGGGTGTTTTAGCGCTTGCACGGTCACATGACTATCAAAGGAAAAAGGTTGTCCGTGTTGTCTAATATCCTGCTACGCTCGCGCGCGAGCGTGGAGCTCCGCTATGAATCATTTTACCGAATCTATTTTAATGGTTAACTTGGTTTCGGTTGCAGGATGTTTTCGATGCGCAAGTCTGCGAGAAAGAAACTGGTAGATCGTTGGTTTTGGAAGTGAGAGAAGTGCATTGCAAAATTGGCAATAAACGTTTTGTCTTTCAGTTGCATAACACGTAACCAGGCAAGCCACTTGTAAAAATCCTTACGAGCAGTTACATCAGCAAACTAACAAGCAACGCATCAATCAGGAACAGAAACAGGATACTGTATTTAAGTTCGGTTGCTGCAAAAAACAGAACCTCGGCTCCAAAGTAAAAATGTTGGGTATCAACGAGCTATTGCGACTTAAAAGGAGCGAACTGGAGAGCACAGACCGAATGTATACCACACTTATTTACTTAACGTGCTTCTTGATTTTCTGAACCCAATAGTGTAGCTTCAAAACTGGCAGGAAAATTGAACAGGTGTCTTCGATCCCTTAGTTATTTGACTTAAATACGTTAGATACGATAGATTTCTTTTAAACATTCTGAGTGCTACAATTGATTTGCGTCCTGGACATCGTGATACGTGTGTGTATTTCATGTCCATAGAGGACTTGTATTAAGTTGTCTAACGCATGGGTAAAATTGAGTAAACATGGAAGCCAATTGAGATTATTTGAGCTCTGGGATTTGTTGTTAGAAAGGTTAAGCATCACATTTACGTCAAACGGCAAACGCGAATTTGTATCACGTGACCAAATTTTCTCTTTACTTGTCGATTACTGTTCATAGTTTCTACACCTAAATTAGTTGTTTCACGCAATTTTTTATCCGTAAGAATTGTTTTGAGCTGTGTTTATCTGCTCATTTTCTATTTTACAACATTAAGAAATTCTCAACTTGAATTTAGCCACCGTATACGTGGAGCTTAAACTCTCTATTGCTTTGCACATAATCGAATTCCAGTGCACCACCCGTGATTTTACCTCTTTTGGATGTCCTCCAAAGTCTTCCGAAGTATAGTAATGTTCCAGAACTATAGGACTATTTTTTCGCTTCCGGTTTTTGTTTAGGATAGCTGCATTTTTCCTTTTCCGATTCCCTCGGTCTTGGCATGTCAGTTGAATTTTCCGCAAACTGTTAGAATGGATTTAAATAATTATATATAATGATTAAGCTGTTTAGATAAGATAGAAAGTGTGTTTTCCAAAATACTGGCTTTAGTCACCTTAAAATGTTTGAAATCTGGAACGTATTATATTTCCTCCGCGTCTCCTACACAAACTACCGCTTTTGACGTAAATCAGGACTCGTTAAATGACCATCACGTTTCGCTAGACATACTCACTATTAAGGGGGCTACCACAGGGCGCATCCAAGATTATCAGTTAAGACTTCCGCGGACAAAACAAAATTCATGGCTGTATTTAGCTAGGGCTTGAAGAGTTGTTATTGCCAACTATCAAAACGCATCAAACTAAACCTAATCAGATGCTCAGTAATATAATGAGGAGTCACACTTAAGCGTTGTTTACAAAAGTTTGATCATTGAAGGTTGTTTACACTTCTTCCGACCTACTTCTCTTAGCTAAAATCAAACTCTACGTTTTTTATGACACTGCGTATTTCTGCCTTAATTTCAGTCTGAAAGGAAGTCAGCCGAGCGTAGAGTGGCGTGCAATGGATATTTCACCCTGCTCAACGGATGTGTAATCTAGGCCTTGTTGTGACTGGTTCCATCCAGTTTGCGGTCAACATAGTGATACCCTGGCATCTTCACTATTGCCCTAACAAAAGAAAAGCAAAACATAAGATCGCTCATAAGACAAAACACCAACTTAAATCTTCACCTAGTACCTTAACTCGTAACCGCAATCCTCTTCTTGTATACAGTAGTTCACCCTTTGCCCCAAACAAACAGGTACAAATCTAAAAAGGGGAGGGAGTTGAGGTCCCATTTTTAGGGCAACGAGGTGCTGCTGATGGTTTGAAAAGCCGTACACAGTTTTTAGGACAAAACGTGTCCTCAAGGAGACAGTAAAACAAATCAGTACTGAAATCTAGTGCAAAAACATTAACTAGTCGTTAAAAAAAATTGAAACAACAAATCATGAATGGCACACAATTTGATTGCACATAATTTATTTATTTTCTTTTATAAGAAACAATTCTTTACCGCAGATGCAAAAATCTCATATCTAAAAATCTCTTTTCTTGTTCATGATTATTAACCTAAACTGATCTTGGCCCGTTTTGCGGTAAAATTTCGAATCGTGGCCTTCAGATTAACCAGATCACGAAAACGTAAATTTAGGGTCCCTTCTTGATGAGTTAAAACATGACAATTGTGATATCTTACTTGAAAGTAGATTTGAATTCACACTAATAATGACCACCTCCTTCCAACTTCAGAGCCATTTAAAGTTGTTTCCTATCAGCATTCCATCTCGTGCATAAAGACGCTCAGTGTTGGGTTCCCAGCCCTGTGTCATCTTTTGCAAAACGGGTCCATTGGGAGGAAAGTTCAAACCGGTGAACTTACACGAAACAGTTGCCTTTGATGCTTTTAAAGAAGAGGTGAAAAAAAATTAACAAAATGCAAAGGAATGGTTGTGGATGTTTTTCATCATGATACTCTACAGCGTGTGAGCAATTCGCCGCCGCCTAGTGTGTCATTTGCCATTTCTAAAGAAGACAAACGGAGACTGATCTACTGACATTTATTAGCGAAAATGTTAGTCTATTCTAAGGGGAGGAAAACACTCTTGTACTGACATTCTGCGTTTAGCGAAAAATCGATTGGTTATTAATTCAGTTAACTATGTTTTCAATGTACCTTGAATCATTGCTGACAGTACTAGAATTTTAGGGAGCCTTTTTTCTCGCTGAAATTTTCCAGAAGGTAAGTTTTGATCCCTATAATTTTCGGATCACTAGACTTTCAGCTAGGCAACCAGAACAGATGAAAAATTTTAGGGGATAAAAATATGCCTATATCTACCGTTTAAATACTAAAATACTTTCAACAGTATCCTTTGTTTAAGTGGTCTTGAACTATATTCTCGTTGGGTGCCCCTGGTTCATGATCCTTTCCCATGGATATCCCTCAGGGAATGACTGCTTTACATAGTCAGGGATGTCTTCAGAGTACTTGGTGAATGGTATGCTTCCGAATTGACTCTGTGGTGATAAAATATCCCAAGCAAACGGCAGAGGTCCGCCCTTGGTGACAGTGAGCTTTACAGTCTGCTCGCCCCTTAAAGAGAAGAGTTGGCACTGCAAATGAGACACTTTTTTATATTATGGTGCCTTATTGATTAAAAAAGGCCGGTTAAACGATGCTCGATGGGTCTTGTTAAAAGGTGTATAATTCTTACTCTCACAGGATTTCCTCCTAGTTCTCTGGCTTGTTTCCCCCTTTTCTGAAAAAAGCATTTTCAAATATCAATTCCTTCGGGGGTGGTAGACAAGAAACCACTTTGTGGATGTGATACCAATTGATCGTTATCTATTTTATTACATTAACGTAAAGGTTAACTTTGCATGATAGCGTTCAATTTGGTAGGAAATACGTCTGCGGTTTGCATTCTATCAATTTGGTTCACATATGAAAAATTTAAACAAATGTCCATGAAAGATAACGCTGGTAACACTTTGCTGCTCACTTGTTCTATCGTAATTCTGCTTCGTCTGCCCCATCCCCTCCCAAAGTGTCATGGAATTTTAAAAGCAATCAAGGGTAAGCTGCGAAAACGCTTCATGCATTGAACGGAAACCAACATTATATCGAACAAGTATGAAAAATATATAACATCTATTAAACAGAAAATTACTCGTAAGGCTTTCCTTTTCCATCGCCTTGAACCTCAAAGTAGTGTCCATTGACCGTGCCTGACATATAAACCTTGTAGGTCATTTGTTTAGCGATCACACTCTGTTAAATTTAAAAAAAGAACAGCAGTTTGGTTGTAACAACGCAAATGTGCTCTGGGTTAAAATGCCTAACTATAAACGGACTACAAGTAAAAATAAAATTAGAGGCTGCACGATTTTTGGAGTTTCTGTCGCTTTTTAGTTGAAATTCAATGCCACACAGCAATTGCTTCTAAGAACATAACAGTAATCGAAATATGGTTAAACTAAACTCTCTCAAACATTCTTGAATTCGTTATGAAAAGGAAGATGACATCGTATTCTTTTAATTGCACCTCAAGCAGAAGTAATCTTTTCGTAGAAACTCTGTACAGAAATAAACCGCCATCTATGCTTGCTCGACTGCATACGCATCACTTACTTGACTTCCTTTTGTTTTGGTAGTCAGTAAAGAAGATGACCGATTTCGTAGCATATATAGCATAAAATGAAACCTCATGGTGCGATAGAGACAAACGTAGTTATTAAAAGCCGAAACGACCTACAATCATCCACAGCAGCCCTAATTGAGCCACGTCGACGTCCAAGATATAAAGCCACAAGCAAGCGGCCATGACATAAAAATTTAATAGACCCCCATAATAACCGCAATCAAATTAGGTGGATCAGGCGTTCCTGCTAAAGTAGTTGACTTGCATAGAAATCGTCCAATACGTGTAGCCTTTGTCCTCAATCTAGTTTTTCTGTCCCACGAATTGCATAATAACAAGTTTTGCATGATGACTGCACACATTTTGCGAGATATTTAAGGTGATCGAATATTTATTATATATTTTTCGTTATTCCGCGTGAGAAACGTTAATCAGCCAAGCATGCACATATAGAATTGAATTCGAATACAATGGTTTCTTGCGTGCCTTACAAATTTTAGTCTTGTTAGTAAAACATGACTGGATGAGTGCGTTCTTTTATAGATCAAAACCTTATCTTTCGTTTATATAACTAAAGTAGGCAATGTTGACAAGAGTTAAACCCAAATTGGTTTCAAGTGGTGTGTCGCGCTTTGGGTTTTCCAATTTTCAAAGGCATTCTGGGTTCTTCTGTTACGTCAATCACCTGGGTGCTTATGCAAATCCCAAGGCAACACGCGCGTTCGCCCATCTTCACTCGCTTTTATGGGATTCCTAAAATCTGTCCCTTTTCAAGTGAGTTTACTGTAATACTATGAGGCATATTCCTAAAGAAGATAAATACCTAGTCATTTACAAGCGCTTTAGTTATAAGACATTCATTTGTTGAATGATGCCAATTCAGTCGATTCAGTCCAGTCTGTATTTTTTATACTACGGAACAGATAACCGAAGCATATTGAGGAACAGACACAAGATAGATTCAGAAACTTATGCAACACACAAAACACTAACCTCTAGGACACTCATTTATTTTTTTATTTATGCTAATCTCTAACTGTTGTGTAACAGTCCCGGCATAGTAAATCGAACGTTCGAAAATCGAACTCAATAGATAGATAGATAATCTTTATTTATCCACGGTACAAAATTCGTCAGCTTGAAAAAAATGCCTAAAACTAATATAATAAAAATATTTAAATAAAAAAGCTGCTTTCCACGAATGCCGTGCCTTACAGTTCTTTGAGTAATCGTTTAAATTGCCCAAGGGACTCTGCTTCCCTTAAGTTACAAGGAAGACTGTTCCAGAGAATGGCACCACTATAGCTGAAGCTGTTTTTGTAATAGTTTGTGCACGGTAATGGAACATTGAGTTTATTTTCAGAGTCCCTTAGGTTATATGCGACTTCTCGCCTTTCAAATTTAGAACTAAGATAGTTTGGAGCCAACCCGTGCAGAGACCTGTAAACCATCGTAGCTCTTTGAAATTGTGGCTGGCAAGCTAGGTTTTTCCACCCTAGAAGTTTGAAAAGGTGTCCAGCATCTACGTCGTAGCTTGAGTAGGTCAAAACACGGGCTGCTCTGTATTGTAGCTTTTGAACCTTATTCCGTAAGGTTATCCCACAGTTGCCCCAAACAATGTTGCAATAATCAAAGTGTGGCTGTATTAAAGCTTGATATATTAGTTGTAAGGTCGCCTGAGGGACAAGGTGCCTTATTCGTTTTATGGCCCCAATACCAGAAGCGACTTTCTTTGTTACTTTCTCGATATGGCCACTCCAATCAAGTCTGTCATCGATGGTCACTCCTAGTGATTTTGCAGTAGTGACCTGGCTAACTTCAAAATTATTAATTGCAAATGTCGGGGACTCTGTGAGAGCACTTAGCCTCTGCCTAGATCCGATAAGCATAAATTCGGTTTTAGTCATATTTAGAGTAAGTTTGTTTGCTCTCAGCCAATTGTGAACATTTTCTAAATCTTGATTTAGATGCAACTGAATATTGTCTGCATTATCAATCGAACATTATCAATCGAACTCAATCGAACTCAATCCGTGGATTGAGTTCGATTGAGTTCGGCAATCGAACGAAATCGAACACCACACTTTCAGTGAGTTCGATTTCCGAACAAATCGAATTCAATCGAACAAATCGAACTCAATCGAACTCAATCCGTCTGATTGTGTTCGATTGAGTTCGGAAACCGAACTCAATCGAACACAATTAAATGGATTTCGTTCGATTGGCTCTGGTGAACCTATACAAAGCAAGTCCAAAGCAAGCCCGTCAAAGCTTCCCTGCTAGCAGAGGTCTCTCACGACGAGGCAAAAATGAGAGAGACCTCTGCTAGCAGGGAAGTCAAAGCAAGTTTTTCTTGCGGTTTTTTTACTATTTATTCAATATCACAAACCCCATCTATAAACTGTCCACGGTAGTTAAGAGAAGAGAACAGAACAAACCCTGAAAACTTCACCATCCTTTGCGTCAAAGCGGCATTCCTGGTAGCCTTTGACTATACATTTGAAGCTTACGATCCACAACGCATCTGAAGCCATTTCTGCGGAATTTCTTCGTTTACGAAAAACACGTGGGCTACACTCAGGGCTGAAGTAACTCGAGCTTCTAAGATCTGGCAATGGATTTTCAACGTCTGTTTTACATAAATCACGAGTTCGAAAATCAAACGTTCGATTGGGTTCGATTGATTTTTTTTCTTTTCGGTGAGTTCGATTTCGTTCGATTGCCGAACTCAATCGAACTCAATCGACCGATTGAGTTCGATTGAGTTCGATTGAGTTCGATTGAAATTTAGTTCGATTGGGTTCGATTTACTATGCCGGGAAAAGTAGAAATGCAAAAGGTCACCACTCGCCGAACGCGCGTTTGTGTTAGTTGAATTTTGTTTCTTTTATAATTATAAAGCAAAGTATCAAGCTATACTAGCTTAGACTCGCAAGAGGTTAGTAAATATTTGTCATCTGTCAAGCAGAAGGGACGTTTTTCCCCTGGACAGGTTTCTTGTACGAGCTGAGAAGTGAGGACTAAATACAAGAGGTGTTAACTAAAAAAGGGTAGAACTTTTGTAGCTTCAAAAGAGCTTATTTTAAAATACCATTGCGTAACACAGCCAGACCCAAAAATAAAATGTTCGAGATTAAAATACTAACAAAACAAAGAGAAACACAAGATCTTTGTTTGTTTTTTGTACGAAGTTGAGAAACTTTCCTAGGTACGTAAAACAACCCATCTACACGGAAACCCTGAGTTGACATGATTTGAATAGAACTTTTATAGCTTCAAAGGAGCTTCTTTTCGCATAACATTACATAACATAAGCAAACCCAAATGGTCAGGAAACCTACGTTAACAAAAAGCATAACCATTGTGAAGAGGTTTCCTCGGGGGTTTTCGTAATTGAGGGACCAAAACTAGAAATTACTACATTGTAGGGAGGTGGCCGTGTTGAAGAGAAAAAAGAACAAAAGGGAATTTAAAGACTGTCAGCTGGGACAATTAAGAGTGACCTTTGTAGAGAAAGACTGAGCTTATGTGGAGGTGGCTGTTTTAAGAGGTTTCTTTGTCTGTGTAAATACAAAGGAAGATTAATATCTATCATGACATATTCATCTATTCATAAAAGGTTACATGTAAAAACTAATCTATGTAGGATTCTAGGAATTTGCCCTTCAATTCCAAATTCTTTGATGTGCCGCCAGATGCCGTCCAAAAATATCACCGCTTGCGGCTCCTCGTGTGAATTGCTCTTTCAACTTTCCGTATGTTTCCAGAGCTAATGGCAGCCTTTGCCTGTTAGGTTGTAGTATATATAAATGTTTTATTGTGAAAAGCAGAAAGCTAACCTCCGATACCTGTATAGCTGTTTTTATTCGCTTCATAACCTTAAACGAGACAGATCGTAACCTTGTCGGAGGGCAATAAGTTGCGTGTTGGAGGCACCAGAAACAGATATTGACCCATAACTTATGTTAGAGCGTAGGATACTATAGAAAATGTAATCATATATTTGTCTGGCTATAACACTCGTTCTTACTTCTCTCTGTACATGTAAGCATTTGTTGCCTTTACACAATTTAGTTTTGGCATGCGTAGAGAATTGACAGTCATTACACGCAAAAGGATAGAATGTGGAGTTCCCTGTCATTTTTAAAACTCCTTAAGGTAACGTTTTTTGAAATTTCAGTTCAACCAGGTGAAATCTTTCCTACAAAACTACGTGAATTAGCTCTACTTCTTTTCCATAGCGGTGCGACAATCGTTAAGTCATCTGCATATAACAACAGGGGCTTTAACTCACACCGCACTGATGGCGAATACACGAACTAAGCGTACTCCCATGTACTGCGCTAACACATTTTCTCTGCACGCAGGTATAGGCCTAGAAAACGTTTTATTCAAGCCAGTCAATAACCTTTTGTTAAGTGTAACTTAAAAGCGTTTATTCTCTAGAAAATAGCTTGTTTGTGTCGGTTGGAGCTTAATTTATGACTTAACACAGCCCTTCCTTAGGCTATCGCAACCGACGAAACTCAAGACAATACTAGCCAATCGCTAGAAATTTTAAGACGATACAGATCTCACTTTGTACGTTCAATGTAATGCGTTGTTGAAAACCGAACTCAAGTGTTACTGTGTCGACGTATACTTTATAAAAGGTGATTACATGACAAAGGACAGAATACTTCTTGAATTTTGAAAAGCAATTGATTTGCTTTTTACTTTCTTTTTGTTAGCAAACACCACTAATTCTTAAAACAAACGAATCATCACATGGTTTTGTCCATTGTAGTATTTATCAAAGATGTCGTGTTTTAAAAGACATTCGCCGTCTCAACAGACCAAATTGATAGAGTCAATAGGGCCATTTATATGAGGAAAAGTCAATAGGTGTCTTACATAATGCACATCTTACGTAAGAAGCGAACGTTCCGTTTTAAATTTCACTCTTCGTTTGAAATAAGAAACGAGTGAGCTAAGATTAGAACCACCAAGTGTGGACCAGTTGGGGACGCAGATTATCTAAAAGTGTCCGTAACTCCTTTTCTAATTGATTACACGCGGGTTTCGAACTTAGCACAACCTCGAATTTAGCCTGCGTAGCACTGAAGCGTTTCCTCGCGAGTTCGTCGAGAAAGTTGGGACGAGAGCAAAAAAACGGAAAAGGAATGAAAAACGGTTGCTACGCAGGCTACATCGAATTCCAATGCACCACCCGTGATTTTACCCCTTTTGGATGTCGTTTGGAATCTTCCGAAACATAGTAATATTTAAGAACTATTGGCTTACCATTTTTGATTAGACGACAGGAGTTGTGTTTCCAAAATACTTCGTCGAGCCACCAGCTCAAATATGGAACATATTATATTTCCTCCGCGTCTGCTACATGAACCAACTCCTTTTCATGTAAATCATGACTCATTTTAAAGCTAATTTATACAACACGATAAATTGGAGTTAATGTGATAACCATAAACCCGGCCTTACCAGTAGTGGAATCAGCTCACTTCCTTTCAGGGGTCAGTTCTGGCATGCGACCCCTGTCACACTAATTGTTTTGCTCAGCCAATTAGATGCCAGCTATCACATGTACAGTTGATGCCTATATTTTCGCGCCTAGCTCAGCAAAATAGCACTTCATATTCTTCTCTTCGTGGAACAAAATCCCATCTCACCCTCCCTTATTACTGCTTTATTCTCTCTGCTGGTTTTTCTTAAGGTTTTATATATGAGGTCTTTTCTCTTGCTTAAAAATTTAAGAAGCTGCTTATACTTTTTGCAGTCATACGAACTACTGATCTTTGTTGTTTACACTTTGAATCAATGGGCAATTATCAAGAAGATATGGCAGAAAAGAGGTGGGTTTCTATTGAGGGGAATCATTGTACCAGGCATCCTAACATGCTTGTGCACTTAGTTACTTTGGGCCTTATTTTGATTATTAAGTTGATAAAAGTTTAATTGTCATTTACTTACAACTTCTATTAATATATTTTCGTCTAACCTCTCTCCCTCAAGGTTCATGTTAAGTGTCTGGCTCTGCTTTCGGGAGGGTTCAGGTTTCCCTCAAAAATAATTGAGGGTTTTTCCTGACGGGCAGCAGGCATGGGTTCGGGATGAAGTGCTCCCATACAGGTCACACTTTGCCCCATAGACTCTTGTTACTCCTTAAACCAGGGAATTAGACATCTAGAGAGATCTTTCCACCTCTCCATTACCCAAGGGGGATTATCACCTCCACTCACAACCTTGGGGGATTATCAGCCCCTAGAGAGGATTATCACCTAGCTTCTCACTATCCTGGGAGATTATCACTCCCTAGAGAGGATTATCACCTCTCCCCTTGTAGATTTCGGACTGTTACACCAATACGTAGAGAAAAGTGACCTGCTGTCCATATTTGGAGTACTTCATCCCTTACCCCTTTTCCCCATAATAATTCTGGTCTAGTTACTTGCTTTATCTAAGGGGTTATGGGTTAAGAGCATTAATGATTTAAAGATCACCATATCGGTTCGCGGGACATACCTGCTCTCATGGGCGCATCCAAGGTTATCAGTTAAGACGTCCTCCCGCTAATAAAAGTGGATGACTGTAACTAGGGCAAGGGGAACTATTATTGCCAACTATCAACACACACATCAGTATAAAGCTACCCAGCTGCCCAGTGATATACTGAGGAGTCACACAGAAACGTTCATTTCAAAAGTTTAATCATCAAATTTTGTTTACAATTCTTCCGTCCTACGTTTTTTAGCTAAAATCAAAATCTACGTTTGTTACGCCACTGCGTATTTCTGCCTTAATGTGACTCTGAAAAAACCGTGACGTTAGGCGACCACAGGTTTGCGTGCAATGGAAATTTCACACTGCTCAACGGAAGTGTAATCCTTGTTGTGATTGGTTACATCCAATTTGCGGTCAACATAGTGATACCCAGGCATCATCACAGGCTTCTTCGCCCTAAAAAATGAACAAAAACACCGTTAATATCGGTAAGATCGAAAATAACCCAAGCTATCAATTTAATTCTTTGCCAAATAGCTTTGACCACAATCTTTGACGACAACCTTCAGCTTTGATCAAAATCCTCTTCTTGTCTCTTTTTTGGGTCGAGCGTTTTCGGGAGGCAAGACAAGCATTCTCGACGTTATCTATTTTAAATAAAGATACTTACTTTCTCACTCACACCTCCGCTCTTCGCGGTATACGTTAATTTGTAACAGCGAGAAAACTATCACCGCAAATCACCACCTCCAAATCAGTTTCTTACGAACGATTGTTTTCCTTTTTTTGTGTACAGTTATTCTTTTTTTCTTACAAACATATATGGGTCAAATATGTAATATTTCGTAAGAATAACAAAGGTTTGACAATGTCCTCGATCCGGAACATGATCTCGACCAAGTCCATTCGACGGAAAAGGGAGTGAATAGCATTGCGCGAGTGAACCTGAATCATGATCATGACAGTGTCGACAAATTTTGGCCAACGTGTGTCTGAAGCCAAACTTTAAATTTTTTTCACTATTTCCTATCTAATACCAATTCTTTTCAACAATATATAGTGTTTTTTTTAATCTCCCTTTCTAAAATCCCTCAAACCCAGATCCCGTTTATAATCATTACAGTAAATCGCTTCCCTTTTTGCTTATAAAATCCCGAATCGTGGCTTTAACATAAGCTAGATCCTACATTTGGAGCTCCTTAATTGGTTAAATGGCAATTGTGACATCTTACTTGTAAGTAGATTTGAATTCACAGGTATAATGACCACCTCCTTCCAACTTCAGAGCCATAAAGTTGTTTCCTATCAGCATTCCATCTCGTGCATAAAGACGCTCAGTGTTGGGTTCCCAGCCCTGTGTCTTCTTCTGCATAACAGGTCCATTGGCAGGAAAGTTCAAACCAGAGAACTTGACATTGTAGATGAAACAGTTGCCTTGGATGCTTTTGGAAAAGAGATGAGAAAATGGTTTTACAAAGTGCAATGGAATGGTTGTGGATATTCATTTTTTCATAATGATACTCTTAACAGCGGGTTCGCAATATCGGGTGATTCGCCATTTCTAACGAAGAGAAAGTGAGACTGATCTGCTGACATTTATTAGCTTAAATTGCAGCCTCTTCTAAAGGGAGGAAAACCTTATCTGTTCTGACATTTTACTTTAGCGACTAAACTTAAATTAACCTAGTTTTCCGCGATGTACCTGGAATCATTGCTGACAGTACACACCGCACCGTCTTCAAACTTCATGATCCTCTCCCATGTATATCCCTCAGGGAATGACTGCTTTACATAGTCAGGGATGTCTTCAGGGTACTTGGTGAATGGTATGCTTCCGTACTGAGACTGTGGTGACAAAATATCCCAAGCAAACGGCAAAGGTCCGCCCTTGGTGACAGTGAGCTTTACAGTCTGCTCGCCCCTTAAAGAGAAGAGTTGGCATTCAAATTAGGCACATTTTTACATTATGGTGCCTTATTTATTAAAAAAAGGTTAAACATTGCACCATGGGTCTTGTTAAAGGGTGTATAATTCTCACTCTGACAGCATTTTCTCTTAGGTCTCTGGTTTTGTTTGTCAAGTATCAAGAAACCACTCTGTGGATGTGATACCAATTGATCGTTATTTATTTTATTACGTTAATGGAGAGGTTAAATTTGCACGGTAGCGTTCAATTTGATTCACATATTGAAAATTTAAACCAGTTTCCATGAAAGATAACGCTGGAAAACACGTCGCTGCTCACTTGTTCTGTGGTAATTCTACCTCGTGTTCCCCATCCCTTCCCAAAAACATCTTCGAAAGTGTCATGGGATTTTAAAAGTAATCAAGGGTAAGCTGCGAAAACGCTTCATGCATTGAACGGAAACCAACATTATATTGAACAAGTATGAAAAATATACAACATCTATCAAACAGAAACTTACTCGTAAGGTTTTCCTTTTCCATCGCCTTGAACCTCAAAGTAGTGTCCATTGACCGTGCCTGACATATAAACCTTGTAGGTCATTTGTTTAGCGATCACACTCTGTTACATTTAAAACAAGAACAGCAGGAAAATTTTGTTAGCTCGGTTGTAACAACGCCAATTTGCTCAGAGTTAAAATGCCTAGCGATAAAAGGACTACAAGTAAAAATAAAAATTAAATTACAGGCATGCTGGGCGATTTTGGAGTTTTCATGTCGCTTTGTAGTTGAAAGTCGATGCCGCAATTGTTTCGAAGAACATAACAGTAATCAAAACATGTTTAAACTAAACTCTTGTAAACATTCCTCAATTCATTATATAAAGGAAGATGAAATCGTATTCTTTTAATTGCACCTCAAGCAGAAGTAATCTTTTCCCAAAAAAGCATAGGTGCGGGCGTCATCTATGCTTGCTCCACTGCATGCGCATCAGTTAAGCGACTTCCTTTTGTTTGGGTGGTCAGTGAAGAAGATGACCGATTTCGTAGCATATGTACAACTGTAGCATACAATGAAACCTCGTGGTGTGATAGAGACAAACGTAGTTACTAAAAGCCGAAACGACCTACAATCATCCACAGCAGCCCTAAATGAGCCACGTCGACATCCAAGATATAAAGCCACAAGCAAACGGCCATGACATGAAAATTTAATAGACCTTCATAATGAGGGCAATCAAATTGCGTGGATCAGGCGTTCCTGCTAAATAGTTGACTTGCGTAGAAATCGTCCAATACGTGTAGCCTTTTGTCCTCAATCTAGTTATTCTGTTCTACGAATTGCATAATAACAGGTTTTGCATGATGACTGCACACATTTTGCGAGATATTTAAGGTGGTCGAATGTTTATTATATAGTTTGCGTTTTTCTGCGTGAGAAACGTTAACCAGCCAAGCACATATGGAATTGAATTCGAATACAATGGTTTCTTGTATCTCTTACAAAAATGGTTTTGTTAGTAAAACATGACTTGCTTAGTGCGTTCTTGAATAGATCAAAGCCACATATTTCGTTAATATAACTAAAGTAGGTAATGCTGACAAGAATTAAACCCAGATTGGTTTCAAATGGTGTATCGCACCTCGCGTTCTGCAATTTTCAAAGGCATTCTGGGTTCTTCGTGTTTTGTCAATCATAGGAATAGCTGAGTGAGTGCGGTGGCTACGCAAATCACGAGGCAACGCGCGCGTTCGCCCATCTTCACTCGCTTGTATGGGATTCCTTAAATCTGTCCCTTTTAAAGTACGTTTACTGTAATACTATGAGGCATATTCCTAAAGAAGATAAATACCTAGTCATTTACAATCTCTTTAGTCATAAAACATTCATTTGTTGAATGTTGCCGATTCAGCCCGGTCTGTATTTTTTTATAGTACGCAACGTACACACAGGTTATCGAAGCGTATTTAGGAACAGAGCCAAGATAGATTCAGAAACATATACAACACTCAAAAAGAAACTCTAACCTCTAGGACAGTCAATTATTCTGGTATTTATACTAATCTCTATCTGTTGTGTGTGGAAGTAGCAAGAGGTCACCACTCCCTGGACGCGATGATCATCAGTTTTACTTTCGTACGCAGTTGTGATTAGTTGAAATTTGTTACTGTTTTTTTTTTTTTATACAGCAAACTAGGAATGCAGAGGTAAGTAAATATTTGTCATCCATCAAGCAGAACGCACGTTTTTCTCCTTGTGACAGGTTTTTTCCCGACATTTCTTGTACGAGCTTAAAAGTTAAGAAAGAAATTAAGAGAAACTCTCTAAGGCACGCAAAACAAGCGAAAACCGCTAAATACAAGAGATGTGAACTTAATAGGGTAGAACATTTGTAGTTTCAAAAGAGCTACTTTTAAAATACCATTGCGTAACACAGTCAGGCCCAACAATAAAATGTTCAAGTTAAAAATATTAAGAAAACATAGCGAAATGCAAGATCTTTTCTTGTTTTTTGTACGAAAACATCCCAACTGGCCGAAAATCCTGAGTTGACGTGATTTGGATAGAACTTTTATAGTTTCAAAAGTGTTTATTTTTGCATAACATTAAATAACACAATTAAACCCAAACGTCAGGAAAAAAACGTTTAACAAAGCATTAAGAGACTAAGGTGAAATAATTACGTCAATTTGTACATAGCCGTTTGATTTCAAATAACCATTGTGAAAAGGTTTCCTTGACTCAGGGAGGCACTAGAAATGGAATTACTTAATGGTAGGGAGGTGGCCGTGTTGAAGAGAAGAAAGCACAAAAAGGAATTTAAGGACTGTCAGCTGGGACAAAAAGGAGTGGCCGTTGTAGAAAAGGACTGAGCCTCTGCGAAGGTGACTGTAAGTAGACGTTTCTCTGTCTGTGAGTTCTAAATTGAAAGAAAACTTACCATATTGGAGAACAACTTGCAATATCAACGATTGGCAAACTCTTTTTAAGTAGCTCCGTCTGCGAAAGAGACGCTGATGTGAATGCACTCTACACCCTGCACACACCTTCTTATACCTGACAATGTTTCTATCAGAATTGGTTTTAACCAATCAATCAAAGCTACCTGCGAAATCTCCAGTTACAAATTTTGTCTGTCATTTCTTTTTAATTATTGCCGGGCATACTTTCAGTTTGGAACCTAATATGGTGTACCTTAATGAAAACATTAAAGCACTGATAACGACATATTTCTAGAATGCTCAGTAAAAAAACGTATCTTATGTTACAGGCTTAATATAAAGATGAGGAGATTCTAAGGCAATAAAAACTAAAATACACGGAAAGATTAACATCTATCATGGCATATTCATCTATTCAAGGAAGGTTTTATTTAAAAACTAATCTATGTGAGAAAATTGTTCTTTCAACGTTCCGTATGTTTCCTGAACCATTGGCAACCTTTGCCTGTTAGGTCGAAGTAGATATCTTTGTTCTATTATAGAAAGCATACGCAAAGCTGACCTCCGATAGGTGTATCGCTTTCTTTAATCGCTTCATGTTTCTTTTCCTTTTTTGTCTAGTGAACATGTAGCCTTAAACGAGACAGATCAGATCGTAACCTTGTCGGAGGGCAATAAGTTGCGTGTCGGAGGCACTACAAACACATATTAACCCATAACTTATGTTAGAGAGTGGGATACTATTATAGTAAATGTAATCATATTTCTGTCTTGCTATAACGCTCGTTTTTACGAGTGCACGCTTCATCCTGTACACCTCCTTACACCTGACAATGTTTCTATTAGAATTGGTTTTAACCAATCAATCAAAGCTACCTGCCAAATCTCCCTTTACAAATTTTGTCTGTCATTTCTTTTTAATTATCGGCATACTCAGTTCAGGTTGGAAACTAATATGGTGTACCTAATGAAAACAAACAAGCATTAACAAAGACTTTGTCTCTAGAAATGCATTTAAAAAAACGTATCTAATGTTACAGGCTTAATATGAAGATCAGCTAAAAATAAGGCAATAAAATTAAAAAATAAAATACCAAGAAAGATTAATATCTACCACGACATATTCATCTATCCATAAGAGGCTGCATCTAAAAACTAATCTATGTAAGAAAATTTTTCTTCAACGTTTCGCATGTTTCCTGGGCCAGTGTTTGAAAAGAGAGGGGCACGTAACGACTGTTTTCTGTAAAAATATCTTTTCGGAGACGCAAAAATTGACTAGAATTTTCTCTATCTCAGGGAAGGCTAAAAATTTTTAGACGACCTTTCCACGGACGAAGAATTTTCGAAGTTTATCTAATAAATTCTCTACGATTTTCTAAAGAATAATTTTTCGCTTTTCACTTCCCACTTTAGGCAATTTCTCGTAGAGAAGGGAACCCTTAAAATTTTCAGATTCGAAAATGCGATAAAGAGAGAAATCAGAAAAATTCTCACTTTCCTTAAACTTCAATATGCATCTAAAATTTTTGGAAAAATATTACTGAAGCCCTGGTAATTTCGATAAGAGTCAAGTTCCCCTAAATGACCAAACAGATACAAATTTTATAGCGCCGCTTTGAATGCATTTCTAGAGATCTAAAAGTACTCTGGATAGCCTAAAAAGTGTTTTGATGCATTTAGAAGGAAATTTTCGTTAAAAAGACATCCGCCGTCTCAGCAGACCAAATTAATGGAGTCAATAAGGCCATTCTCATGAGGAAAAGTCAATAGGTGTCTTACATAATACATATCTTACGTAAGAATCGAACCTTTCGTTTTAAATTTCACTCTTCGTCTAAAAAAAAAATGAGTAACCTAAGATAAGACCCGTCAAATGTCAAAGTGGGGACCAACTGGGGACGCAAATTATCTAAAAGTGTCCCGTAACACCCACCTGTTCTTTAATAACACGCGTGTTTCGAGCTTAGCACAACGTCAAATTCCAAAGCACCACCCGTGATTTTACCCCTTTAGGATGTCCTTTGGAATGTTCCAGAATATAGTCATGTTTAGAACTATTAGCTTACCATTTGTGATTAGACGACAGAAGGTGTGCTTTCCGAAATACGAGGTCAAGCCACCTTAAAAAAGCTCAAATATGGAACGTATTATATTTCCTCAGCGTCTCCTACATGAACAACTCGTTTTTATGTAAATCATGACTCCTCAAATCACAATCTCGGTTCGCAGGACATCCCCGCTTTCATGGGATTGCCACAGGCGCATCCAAGGTTATCAGTTAAGACGTCCTCGTACTGATAAAAATGGATGGCTGTATTTAACTAGGGCTAGAAGAGCTATTATTACCCACTATCAACATACATAGCAACCAGAATCTACTCAGCTGTCCAAGCTATTCAAAAGTTTAATCATCAAATGTTTTTTACAATTCTTCCGTCGTACGTATTTTTAGCTGAAATCAAAATCTACGCTTTTTAAACTCAAAATCTCCCTGCTAGCTCACAAAATGAAGCCAATATTCCTGAAGTGTTTCAAAGCTACCTCGTGAAGGTGTCTGAGATTCACGCACACAATGCCAGATATGCCTCAAATCTTAACTTTCCTGTACACGTGTAAGGTCAAATTACGGCAAACACACATTTAAGTTTGCCATAACCAAAACTTGGGAAGTGATTCCTACTAAGATAAAAACACTTAGCTACCATCAGTTCAAAAAAGAATACAAGCGAATTCTAGTTAACTCTCAAAGGTAACAATGTAATATGACTGTTTCACATAAAATGACTACTGACATAATCGTCCATAGTTGCCATGGCACCAAGCGCACACTTATTATGTATTTCCAATCAACCTCGTCCCCAGGGCTTTTCCCTTAAAAAATGGGTGGGGCCGCCCCACCCATTTAAGGGAAAAGCCCTGGGGACGAGGTTGATTGGAAATACATAATATAGCGGTGGTTAGCTCGAAAGCTAAGCTCCTCTGACCACTGTACACTTCTATCCAAGCCATTAATTTTCTTTTTTCCTTCTTCTTCTTCTATATTGGTTTATTCCTACCTTACTATGTATAATGTAAGTACTTTATAAAAGTGTGAATAAAATTGAATTCAATTGAAAATTGAATCGAATTACGTCACTGCGTATTTCTGCCTTAATTCGACTCTGAGCACAGGTTGGCGTGCAATGGAAAGTTCACACTGCTCAACGGAAGTGTAATCCTTGTTGTGACTGGTTACATCCAGTTTGCGGTCAACATAGTGATACCCAGGCATCTTCACAGGCTTCCTAACAAAAGAAAAAACAAAAACCCTTAACGTCCGTAAGATCGAAAATAACCCAAACTATCTTTGATGACAACCATCAGCTTTGACCAAAATATACTCTTCTTTAATTTTTTCGTTCGATCGTTTTCGGGAGACAAGGCAAGCGTTCTCCACGTTCTCGTTTTTTAACAAAGATCGTTACTTGCTTGCTTACTCACACCTCCGCTCTTCGCCGTATACGTTAATTTATAAAAGCGGAAAAAATATCACCCCAAATCACCACCATCGAATGTTTTTATGGAGTTCTTCATTGTCAGTTTCTTACGAGCGATTTTTTTCTTTTTTTGTGCACAGATTTTTCTTTTTTTTCTTACAAACAAATATGTAATATTTCGTAAGAATAACAACGGTTTGACGATGTCCGGAACATGACCTTGAGCAAGTCCATTAGACGGGAAAGGGAGTGAATAGCATTGCGCAAATGACCTGAATCATGATCATGACAGTGTCGACAAATTGTGGTCAACTTGTGTCTGAAACCAAAATTTAAAAAAACTTTTCAGTACTTTCTACCGAATACCAATTCTTTTCAACAATATATAGATTTTTTTTAATCTCGCAATGTAAACTCCCTCAAACCCGTATCCCGTTTATAATCATTAAACTAAATGGAGGCTCTTTTTGCTTATAAAGTCCCGAATCGTGGATTTCACATAAGCTAGATCACGAAAACTGACCTCCATTTGCGATCTGCGGTTCTTCCTTACTGGGTTAAATGCAATTGGGATATCTTACTTGTAGGAAGAGGAATTCACAGGTATAATGTCCACCTCCTTCCAACTTCAGAGCCATAAAGTTGTTTCCTATCAGCATTCCATCTCGTGCATAAAGACGCTCAATGTTGGGTTCCCAGCCCTGTGTCTTCTTCTGCATAACAGGTCCATTGGGAGGAAAGTTCAAACCAGTGAACTTGACATTGTAGATGAAACAGTTGCCTTTGATTCTTTTAAAGAAGAGGTGAAAAAAAAAATAACAAAGTACATTGAACAAGTATGAAAAATATGCATCTCTTAAACAGAAACTTACTCGTAGGGCTTTCGTTTTCCATCGCCTTCAACCTCAAAGTACAGTGTCCATTGACCGTGCCAGACATATAAACCTCGTAGGTCATTTGTTTAGCGGTCACACTCTGTTAAATTTAAAACAAGAACAGCAGGAAAATTTTATTAGCTGGGTTGTAACAACGCAAATTTGCTCGGGGTTAAAATACCTAACTAAACGGACTACAAGTAAAAGTAAAATTAGAGGCTGCTCGATTTTGGAGTTTCTATCGCTTTTTAGTTGAAATTCAATGCCGCACAGCAATTCCTTCTTAGAAGATAACAGTCATCGAAATATGGCAGGGATATGGTTGAACTAAACTCTTGTAAACATTCTTGAATTCATTATATAAAGGAAGATGACATCGTATTCAATTAATTGCACCTCAGGCAGAAGTAATCTTTTCGTAGAAACTCTGTCCAAAATAAACCACCATCTATGCTTGCTCGACTGCATACGCATCACTTACTTGACTACCTTTTGTTTTGGTAGTCAGTAAAGAAGATGACCGATTTCGTAGCATATATAGCATAAAATGAAACCTCATGGTGCGATAGAGACAAACGTAGTTATATTAAAAGCCGAAACGATCTACAATCATCCACAGCCACCCTAAATGAGCCACGTCGACGTCCAAGATATAAACCCACAAGTAAGCAGCCATGACACAAAAACTTAATAGACCCCCATAATAACCGCAATCAAATTAGGTGGATCAGGCGTTCCTGCTAAATAGTTGACTTCCATAGAAATCGTCCAACACGTGTAGCCTTTGTCCTGAATCTAGTTTTCTGTCCTACGAATTGTATAACAAAAGGTTTTGCATGATGACTGCGCACATTTTGCGAGATATTTAAGGTGACCGAATGTTTATTATACATTTTTCGTTATTCTGCGTGAGAAACGTTAATCAGCCAAGCACATAATCATGGAATTGAATTCGAATACAATGGTTTCTTGAATCTCTTACAAAAATAGTCTTGTCAGCAAAACATGACTGGATGAGTGCGTTGTTATATAGATCTAAGCCATATCTTTCGTTTATATAACTAAAGTGGGCAATGTTGACAAGAAGTAACAGACTGAAGTAAACCCAAATTGGTTTCAAATGGTATGTCGCTCATTGGGTTTTGCCATTTTTAAAGGCATTCTGGGTTCTTCTGTTACGTCAATCATCTGCGTGCTTTCGCAAATCGCGAGTTAACACACGCGTTCGCCCATCTTAACCTTTTGTTTGGAATGCCTAAAATCTGTCCCTTTCCAAGGGAGTTTACTGTAATACTATGAGGGGTGTTCCTATAGAAGATAAATACCTTGTCATTTACAACCGCTTTAGTTATAAGACATTCATTTGTTGAATGTTTCCGATTCAGTCCCGTCTGTATTTTTTTATACTACGGAACAGATTATACAAGCATATTTAATTTAGGAACAGACTCAAGTTCCATTTAGAAACATATACAACACACAAAAAGAAACTCTAACCTCTATCACACTAAATTATTTTTCCATTTATACTAATATCTAACTGTTGTGTAACAGTGGAGGTAGCAAGAGGTCACCACTCGCCGAACGCGATGATCATTGTCCTAACGAGTACATGCTGGCCGATTTTAACTTTCGTGCGCAGTTGTGATTAATTGAATTTTGCTTCTTTTATCTTTATACAGCAAAGTATCAAGGTATACTAGCTTAGACTCGCAAGAGGTTAGTAAATATTTGTAATCCGTCAAGCAGAAGGGACGTTTTTCTCTTGGACAGGTTTTTTTCCAACGTTTCTTGTACCACCTGAGAAGTGAAGACTAAGAGAAACTCCCCAGGGCACGCAAAACAAACGAAAACCGCTAAATACAAGACTGCGAACTTAAAAGGGTAGAACTTTTGTAGCTTCAAAAGAGCTTATTTTAATACCATTGCGTAACACAGTCAGGCGCAACAATAAAATGTACAAGATAAAAATACTAAGAAAACAAAGAGAAACACAAGATCTTTGTTTGGTTTTTGTATGAAGTTGAGAGACTCTCCTCGGCACGTAAAACAACCCAAAAGCACGAAAATCCTGAATTGACGTGATTTGAATAGCACTTTTACAGCTTCAAAAGAGCTTATCTCAGCATAACATTACATAACATAATCAAACCAAAATGGTCAGGAAAAAAAACGTTAACACAGCATAACCACTGTGAAGAGGTTTTCTTAATTCAGGGACGCACCAAAATAGGAATAACTACATTGTAGGTATGTGGCCGTGTTGAAGAGAAAAAAGCACAAAAGGTAATTTAAATACTGTCAGCCGGGACAAAAAGGAGTGACCTTTGTAGAGAAGGACTGAGCTTATGTGGAGGTGGCTATTTTAAGAGGTTTCTCTGTCTGTGTAAATACAAAGAAAGATTAATATCTATCATGACATATTCATCTATTCATAAAAGGTTGCATTTAACAACTAATCTGACTATGTAGGAAAATTGTTTTTTCAACGTTACGTATGTTTCCTGAGCCAATGGCAACCTTTGCCTGTTAGGTTGTAGTATATATATTTGTTGTATTGTGAAAAGCAGAAAGCTGACCTCCGATAGGTGTATTGCTGTTTTTAATAGCTTCATCTTTTTTTTCTTTTTTCTAGTGAACACGTAACCTTAAACGAGACAGATCATAACCTTGTCGGAGGGCAATAAGTTGCGTGTTGGAGGCACCAGAAACAGATACTGGCCCGTAACTTACGTTAGAGAGTAGGATACACTAGAAGATGTAATCTTGTTTCTGCATGGCTATAACGCTCGTTTTTACTTCTCTCTGTACATGTAAGCATTTCTTGCCTTTACACACTTTAGTTTTGGCATACGTAGAGAATTGACAGTCATTGCATGCAAAAGGATAGAATGTGGAGTTGACTCTCTTTTTTCAAACTCCTTTGGGTAACGTTTGATGAAATTTCAGTTCAACCAGGTGAAATCTTTCCTACAAAACTACGTGACTTAGCTCTACTTCCCTTCCACAGCGATCGTTGATTCATCTGCATATAACAACAGGGGCTTTAACTTACACTATACTGATGGCGAATACACGAACTAAGCGTACTGCGATGTACTGCGCTAACACATTTTCTCTGCACGCAGGTATACGCCTAGAAAACTTTTTATTGCAGCCAGTCAATAACCTTTTGTTAAGTGTAACTTAAAAGTGTTTATTCTCTAAAAGATAGCTTCTTTGTGTCGGTTAGAGCTTTATGACTTAACAACATTTCCTTAGACTATCGCAACCGACGAAACTCAAGACTATACTAGCTAATCGCAAGAAATTTTAAGACGATACAGATCTCACTTTGTACGTTCAATGTAATGCGTTGTTGAAAACCGAACTGTTATTGTGTCGACGTATATCTTATAGAGGGTGATTACATGACAAAGGACAGAATTCTTCTTGAATTTTGAAAAGCAATTGATTTCCTTTTTACTTTCTTTGTGTTAGCAAAGCTTAGCAAACACCACTGATTTTTAAAACAAACGGATCATCACATTGTTTTGTCCATTGTAGTCTTTATCAAAGATGTCGTGTTTTAAAAGACATCCGCTGTCTCAACAGACCAAATTAATGGAGTCATTTACATGAGGAAAAGTCAATAGGTGTCTTATATAATACACATCACACGTAAGAAGCGAACGTTCCGTTTTAAATTTCACTCTTTGTGTGAAATAAGAAACGAGTGAGCTAAGATAAGAACCGTCAAGTGTGGACCAACTGGGGACGCAAATTATCTAAAAGTTTCTGTAATTCCTGTTCTTTGATTACACGCATGTTTCGAACTTGGCACAACATAGAATTCCAATGCACCACCCGTGATTTTACCCCTTTTGGATGTCCTTTGGAATCTCCCGAAACATAGTAATATTTTAGAACTCTTGGCTTCAGACCATTTTTAATTAGACGAGAGAAGTAGTGTTTCCAAAATACTTCGTCGAGCCACCTTAAAAAAGCTCAAATATGAAACATATTATATTTCGTCCTCCGCGTCTCCTACATGAACCAACTCATTTTCGTGTAAATCATGACTCATTTTAATGATTTAAAAACCACCATATCGGTTCGCAGGACATAGCTGCTTTCAAGGGCGCATCCAAGGTTATCAGTTGATACGTCCTCGCACTAATAAAAATGGATGACTGTAACTAGGGCAAGAAGAGCTATTATTGCTAACTATCAGCACACACATCAATATAAAATTACCCAGCAGCCCAGTGATATACTGAAGAGTCACACAGAAACGTTCATTTCAAAAGTTTAATCATCAAATTTTGTTTACGATTCTTCTGTCGTACGTATTTTAGCTAAAATCAAAATCTACGCTTTTTACGCCACTGCGTATTTCTGCCTTAATTTGACTCTAAAACAACGTCAGGCGACCACAGGTTTGCGTGCAATGGAAATTTCACACTGCTCAACGGAAGTGTAATCCTTATTGTGATTGGTTACATCCAATTTGCGGTCAACATAGTGATACCCAGGCATCATCACAGGCTTCTTTGCCCTAACAAATGAACAAAAACACCGTTAATATCGGTAAGATCGAAAATAACCCAAACTATCAATTTAATTCTTTGCTAAATAGCTTTGACCACAATCTTTGACGACAACCTTCAGCTTTGATCAAAATCCTCTTCTCTAATTTTTTGGGTCGAGCGTTTTCGGGAGGCAAGGCAAGAATTCTCGACGTTATCTATTTTAAATAAAGATACTTTCTTACTCACACTTCCGCTCTTTGCCGTATACGTCCATTTGTAACAGCGAGAAAAATATAACCCAAATCACCACCTCCAAATCATTGTTTTTATGAAGTCCTTCAAAGTCAATTTCTTACGAGCGATTTTTTTCCTTTTTTCGTGCACAGATTTATTCCTTTTTGTCTTAAAAACAAATAAGGGTCAAATATGTAATATTTCGTTAGAATAACAAAGGTTTGACAATGTCCGGAACATGACCTTGAGCAAGTCCATTAGACGGGAAAGGGAGTGAATAGCATTGCGCAAATGACATGAAACATGATCATGACAGTGTCGACAAATTGTGGCCAAATTGTTTCTGAAGCCAAAATTTAATTATTTTTTTTTTCACCATTTCCTACCTAATACCAATTCTTTTCAACAATATATAGTTCTTTTTTTAAACCCCCTTCGTAAAATCCCTCAGACCCAGATCCCGTTAATAATCATTAAACTAAATCGTTTGCCTTTTTGCTTATAAAATCCCGAATCGTGGCTTTTCACATAAGCTAGATATTTCGGAACAGACACAAGATCGATTCAGAAACATATACAACACACAAAAAAACTCTAACCTCTATCACACTCAATTATTTTGTTATTTATGCTAATCTCTAACCGTTGTGTAACAGTGGAAAAGGTCACCACTCGCCGAACGTGCGTTTGTGATTAGTTAAATTTTGTTTCTTTTATCTTTATACAGCAAACTATCAAGGTATACTAGCTTAGACTCGCAAGAGGTTAGTAAATATTTGTAATCCGTCAAGCAAGGGACGTTTTTCTCCTGGACAGGTTTTTTTCCAACGTTTCTTGTACCACCTGAGAAGTGAAGACTAAAAGAAGCCCTCCAGGGTACGCAAAACAAGCGAAAGCCGCTAAATACAAGAGGTGTTAACTTAAAAGGGTAGAACTTGGGTAGCTTCAAAAGAGCTTATTTTAAAATACCATTGCGTAACACAGTCAGGCCCAAAGATAAAATGCTCAAGATTAAAATACTAAGAAAACAAAGAGAAACACAAGATCTTTGTTTGTTTTTTCTACGAAGTTGAGAAACTTTCCTAGGCACGTAAAACAACCCATCTACACGGAAACCCTGAGTTGACGTGATTTAAATAGAACTGTTAATTTATAGCTTCAAAGGAACTTATTTTAGCATAACATTACATAACATAATCAAAACCAAATTGGTCAGGAAAAAAACGTTAGCAAAAAGCATAACCATTGTGAAGAGGTTTTCTCGGGGGTTTTCCTAATTGAGGGACGCACCAAAATAGGAATTACTACATTGTAGGGAGGTGGCCGTGTTGAAGAGAAAAAAGCACAAAAGGGAATTTAAAGACTGTCAGCGGGGACAAATAGGAGTGACCTTTATGGAGAAAGACTGAGCTTATGTGGGGGTGGCTGTTTGTAGAGGTTTCTCTGTCTGTGTAAATACAAAGAAAGATTAATATCTATCATGACATACTCATCTATTCATAAAAGGTTGCATTTAAAAACTTATCTATGCAGGAATTGTTCTTTCAACGTTCCGTATGTTTCCTGAGCCAATGGCAACCTTTGCAGATCATTATCTCTTGAGTGTATACAGTTGTTTTATTGTGAAAAGTAGAAAGCTGAAGGCTGTATTGGTGTTTTAGTCGCTTCATAACCTTAAACGAGACAGATGGTAACCTTATTGGAGGGCAATACATTGCGTGTTGGAGGCACCATAAACAGATATTGACCCATAACTTATGTTAGATCGTAGGATGCTATAGAAAATGTAATCAAATTTCTGTCTGGCTATAACGCTCGTTCTTACTTCTCTCTGTAGATGTAAGCATTTGTTGCCTTTACAGAATTTAGTTTTGGCATGCGTAGAGAATTGACAGTCATTACACGCAAAAAGATAGAATGTGGAGTTGCCTCCCTTTTTGATAATAAGTTTTTTAAAACTCCTTTGGGTAGCGTTTGATGAAATTTCAGTTCAACCAGGTGAAGTCTTTCCTACAAAACTACCTGACTTAGCTCTACTTCCTTTCCATAGCGATGCGACAATCGTTGAGTCATCTGCATATAACAACAGGGGCTTCCACTCACACTGCACTGATAGCGAATACACGAACTAGGCGTACTGCGATGTACTGCGCTAACACATTTTCTCTGCACGCAGGTATACGCCTAGAAAACTTCTTATTGCAGCTAATCAATAATCGTTTGTTAAGTGTAACTTAAAAGTATTTATTCTCTAGAAAATAGCTTTTTTGTGTCGGTTGGAGCTTAATTTATGACTTAACACAGCCCTTCCTTAGGCTATCGCAACCGACGAAACTCAAGACAATATTAGCCAATCGATGGAAATTTTAAGACAATACATATTTCACTTTGTACGCTCAATGTAATACGTTGTTTAATTAAAACCGAACTGTTACTGTGTCGACGTGTACTTTATAAAAGGTGATTACATGACAAAGGACAGAATCCTTCTTGAATTTTAAAAAGCAATTGATTTCCTTTTTACTTTCTTTGTGTTTGCAGACACCACTAATTTTTAAAACAAACGGATCATCACACGGTTTTGTCCATTGTAGTCTTTATCAAAGATGTCGTGTTTTAAAAGACATTCGCCGTCTCAACAGACCAAATTGATAGAGTCAATAGGGCCATTTATATGAGGAAAAGTCAATAGGTGTCTTACATAATGCACATCTTACGAAAGAAGCGAACGTTCCGTTTTAAATTCCACTCTTCTTTTGAAATAAGAAACGAGTGAGCTAAGATAAGAACCGTCAAGTGTGGACCAAATGGGGACGCAAATTATCTAAAAGTGTCCGTAACCCCTGCTCTTCGATTACACGCGTGTTTCGAACTTAGCACAACATCGAATTTAGCCTGCGTAGCACTGAAGCGTTTCCTCGCGAGTTCGTCAAGAAAGTTGGGACGAGAGCGAAAAAAAGAAATGAAAAACGCTTGCTACGCAGGCTACATCGAATTCCAATGCACCACCCGTAATTTTACCCCTTTTGGATGTCGTTTGGAATCTTCCGAAACATAGTAATATTTTAGAAATATTGGCTTACCATTTTAGATTAGACGACAGAAGTTGTGTTTCCAACATACTTTGTCGAGCCACCTTAAAAAAGCTCAAATATAGCCGGAACATATTATATTTCCTCCGCTTCTCCTACATGAACAACTCGTTTTCATGTAACTCATGACTCATTTTAATGATTTAAAGATCACCATATCGGTTAGCGTGACATAGCTGCTTTCAAGGGCGCATCCAAAGTTATCAGTTAAGACGTCCTCGCGCTAGTTAAAATGGATGAGTGTAACTAGGGCAAGGGGAACTATTATTGCCAACTATCAAAACACACACATCAATATAAAACTACCCAGCTGCCCAGTGATATACTGAAGAGTCACACAGAAACGTTCATTTCAAAAGTTTAATCATCAAATTTCGTTTACAATTCTTCCGTCCTACGTTTTTTAGCTAAAATCAAAATCTACGTTTGTTACGCCACTGCGTATTTCTGCCTTAATTTGACTCTGAAAAAACGTCAGGCGACCACAGGTTTGCGTGCAATGGAAATTTCACACTGCTCAACGGAAGTGTAATCCTTGTTGTGATTGGTTACATCCAATTTGCGGTCAACATAGTGATATCCAGGCATCATCACAGGCTTCTTTGCCCTAACAAATGAACAAAAAAACCGTTAATATCGGTAAGATCGAAAATAACCCAAACTATCAATTTAATTCTTTACCAAATAGCTTTGACCACAATCATTGACGACAACCATCAGCTTTGATCAAAATCCTCTTCTCTAATTTTTTGGGTCAAGCGTTTTCGGGAGGCAAGGCAAGCATTCTCGACGTTATCTATTTTAAATAAAGATACTTACTTTCTAACTCACACCTCCGCTCTTCGCCGTATACGTTGATTTATGACAGCGAGAAAAATATTACCAGAATCACCACCTCAATATCAATTTCTTATTAGCGATTTTTTCCTTTTTTCGTGCACAGAGTTATTCCTTTTTTCCTTACAAACAAATATGGGTCAAATAATGTAATATTTCGAAAGAATAACAAAGGTTTGACAATGTCTGGAATAAGACCTCGAGGAAGTCCATTAGACGGGAAAGGGAGTGAGTAGCATTGCGCGAGTGACCTGAATCATGATTATGACAGTGTCGACGAATTGTGGCCAACGTGTGTCTGCGGCCAGGCTTTAAATTTTTTTTACTATGTCCTACCTAATACCAATTCTTTTCAACAATATATAGTTTTTTTTTTTTCATCTCCCTTTCTAAAATCCCTCAAAACCAGATCCCGTTTATAATCATTAAACTAAATCTTTTCCCTTTTTGCTTATAAAGACCCGAATCGTGGCTTTCACAAAAGCTATATCCTACATTTGGAGCTTGGGGTCCCTCCTTAATTGGTTAAATGGCAATTGTGACATCTTACTTGTAAGTAGATTTGAATTCACAGGTATAATGACCACCTCCTTCCAACTTCAGAGCCATAAAGTTGTTTCCTATCAGCATTCCATCTCGTGCATAAAGACGCTCAGTGTTGGGTTCCCAGCCCTGTGTCTTCTTCTGCATAACAGGTCCATTGAGAGGAAAGTTCAAACCAGAGAACTTGACATTGTAGATGAAACAGTTGCCTTGCATGCTTTGAAAAAGAGATGAAAAAGTGTTTTAACAAAGTGCAATGGAATGGTTGTGGATATTTTTCAGAATGATACTCGTCAGTGCATGCGCAATTTCGAACGATTCGCCATTTTTAACGAAGAGAAAGTGAGACTGATCTGCTGACATTTCTTTGCATTTTCTAAAAGGGACGAAAACCCTTTCTAGTTCTGACATTTTGCTTTTGCGAAAACTAAAATTCAATTAATTTAGTTTTCCGCGATGTACCTGGAATCATTGGTGACAGTACACACTGCACCATCTTCAAACTTCATGATCCTCTCCCATGTATATCCCTCAGGGAATGACTGTTTTACATAGTCAGGGATGTCTTCAGGGTACTTGGTGAATGGTATGCTTCCGTACTGAGTCTGAGGTGATAAAATATCCCAAGCAAATGGCAGAGGTCCGCCCTTGGTGACAGTGAGCTTTACAGTCTGCTCGCCCCTTAAAAAGAACGAATTCACATTGCAAATTACGCAAATTTTTAAATAATGAGGGCTAATTGACGAAAAATTCTCGATGGATCTTGTTAAAAAGGTGACTAGTTGTTACTATTACAAGATTTTCTCTTTTCTGGTTTCCCCCCTTTTCTAAAAACAAACACATTTTGAAATATCAATTTTTTGGGGAATGGTGGACAAGAAACCACTTTGTGCACGTGATGCTAATTGGTTGTTATTTATTTTATTAAATTGACGGAGAGGTTAACTTTGCATAAATTAAAGCTTTAGATCTTGGTCACCTTAAACCAGTGTCATTGAAAGATAACGCATAACCTTTTTTGGAGTGCGCGGAAAACACTTCCCAGTTCCCTAGTTCTGTCGTATTTCCACTTCCTCCTCCTCCAAAAACATCCTCGAACGTAACATGGAAAGAAGTGAAAATGGGTTGGCTGCAAAAACGCTTCGCGCATGTATTGAACAGAAACCAATATATATTGAACAAGTATCAGAGATAAATTACATCTATTCAACAGAAACTTACTCGTAAGGCTTTCCTTTTCCATCGCCTTCAACCTCAAAGTAGTGTCCATTGACCGTGCCTGACATATAAACCTTGTAGGTCATTTGTTTAGCGATCACACTCTGTTAAAGTAAAACAAGTACAGCGGGAAAATTTTATTACTATGGTCAGTAGTAACAATGGAAATGTGCTCACGGCAACTGACTAACTGATAAGACTACAAGTAACAAATATACAACTTATGACACAATAAAAAGCTACTTTTCAAGGATGCTGTGTATAAAACATATTGAACTATTTCAAAACTGTGGTGACGCGCTTTAGGTTTGAAGCCATCATCAGACTCTTGCAGATCATAAATGACGAGAAAGCGGGCTGTTCTTCACGGTCTTCTAAATATTTGGTCTTAAACCGTCATCTATGCTTGGTCGATTTCAAACGCAGCGCTTACTTGAGTTCCTTTTGTTAGGTAGTCAATGTAGAAGATAATAATAATACTAATAATCACAATAATAATAATTATTATTATTATCATTATTATTATTATTATTATAAAGAACATTTCTTTAAATTTACTGCCTATACAAATTTTTCTAAGAGCTTTGCAATTCTCAACCTATGTTTCTTGTGTCAACAAATTGCAAAAGATAAAAAAAAATGATATAATAAATAAATAAATAAATAAATAAAGCTGACTAACAAAATTAATTAAAATACGTCTTTAAAAAGTTGCGTTTTCAGCTTAATCTTAAATATACTTAATATACTGTCTATCGCACGTAATTCAGATGGAAGTTCGTTCCACGGCTTGGTACCACCAACAGAAAAGGACCTCAGTCCATAAGACTTCATATTATACCGAGCCAGGTTCAGACTAATCCCATCGTCAGTGAAGGAGGGCAGTGATGTATTAGACTTGTAGACCATCCAGTAATTCTTGTAAATAATTAACGGCTAAACCATGAAACATTTAAACTATTAAACTATTCTCAGCTGTACTGGTAGCCGGTAAAGTTCTTTCAAAACAGGAGAAATGTGTTCGAGTTTTCCTGATGTAACGATAATACGTGAAGCAGCGTTCTGAACGTTCTGCAACTTTGCATCAACCAAATGCTTGGATGCACCATACAACAAAGAGTTGCAATTGTCTATTTTACTGAGGCAGTCAGAGTACTTTTTCGAACTTTTAGATCTCTAGAGATGCGTTCTAAGCGGCGTTGTAGAATTTGTATCTGTTTGGTCATCCTAGGGCAACTTGAGTCTTTTCGAAATTATAAGGGCTTCAGTATTATTTTCCCAAAAATTTTAGGTACAATTTAAAGATGTACGAAAAAGAGAATTTTTCTAATTCCTTTCTCCATCACATTTTTGATTCAGTTCATTTTTCTCTTCAACGAAAAATAGCCTGACCTGGAGAGTGAAATGTGAAAAACTATACTTCCGATAATCGGAGGGATTTTTAACCGTCCTCAAGCTATAGAAAATTCTAGGCAATATTTGCTTCTCCGCACAGATATTTTACAGAAAACAGTCTTTGGGTGCCACTGATTTTAGACAACTAACGCGACAAGATGACTGATTTTATGGCATATATAGCGTAATTTAGAACCTTGGGGTGTGATGAAGACGCTACAAACGTAGTCACTTAAAGTCGACACGACCTACAATGATCCACAGCAGCGTTAAATGAGCCACGTCGACATCAAACATAACCCACAACCAAGCGGCCATGACATAAAAAAAAGCATAATAACCGTGGATTAGGCGTTGGAAAGTGATCTGAAAGTCACGTGAGAAAATGTCGGGCCATGCTATTCTTAAGAACCTGTATGAAAAGAAAATAGATGCGATTTTGACCATAAGCTTCAAAATAACAGCGGAAATCGAGATAAGAAAACATGTGTTTTGCGTCCTACTTCGAGGTGTATCGGCTTTGTAAAGCATATGTTTTGTCATTCATTCATTGCCATGAAATGCCTTCACATTGTTTTCTTTTTTTACTGTCAATAACTCGGTTAATGCGGCTCGATCATCTTTAAACCACGTTTACCGGCGGAAGTTCGATGGAAAAGGCATTAAATTTATAAAGACTTTTCGCCTAGGTTATGTCATCAGCCTTAATGTTGTAGTGGTAAAGTCAAATTCCGACGTCACTGGGTTCGAGTTCTGCTCAGTACCTTTTTTTTCCTTCTTTCTTTCTTTTTTTTTTTTCGTTTTTGTTTTGTTTTGTTGTTTTCTATAAATATGTACCTAAATAAATGTTATGTAAAAAAGTGCAACTGAATAAACAGCAAGAAAAGTATTTTGTATTCCAGAGAAAAGATATTGTATTAAATAGACCTTGTCAAGGTTTTCGACGCCATCTTGAGGAGTAGGCAAACGCGTGAGAAATTACAGTGTTTGTAAGAGCTTCCAATGCGGAGTAATTTCCGTGGAACGGTTGTTCTGAAAAAATATCAATCATAAATAAACTAAAGCTTCACTCCTAAGGATTCTACTGAAAAAAAAATTCAGGGCGTTACATGTGCTAGAAGACCTAGAACAACTTTTTAAAATTTTCTATACAATGGCCTGTTAGAAAGTCCAGGGGGAAAATTAATACAGACAAATATATGGAAAATCTAAAGCAAGCCTCTGAAGAAATTTAAACACAGGTACGCCCCCAAAATTTTTTAGTGCAATCCTTTGCCTTTTAGCTTTAGTTTACAACTGATATTTTTCTCAGAAAAGCCGTTTTACGGAAATTATTCGGCGTTAGATTTTCATACAAACACTGTAATTTCTCACACGTTTGCGTACTCGTCAAAATGACGTCGAAAACCGTGACAAGGTCTATATGTGGATAAACAATCTGAAATTCTATCATTTCCTACAATTTACTGTGGGAAAACCAGAGTTAATAACCATTTGATTTTTTTTCTAATTAACGTTCCCATGTAGGAGTTGACGATATCTAACATTTGACAGTTTCTTTGTCCCTTCCTTTTGCAAGGATTATTTTCTTTACTGCCAATTCTTGGTTTTCCAACTTCAAACTAAGAAACTATCGCTTCTTCTGAGTTTCTACTTTCCTGTGATGTTAGAGCACCTTAAAACCTTTATTCAAACAAATTTTCGGTTCAAAAGGGTTCTTTGTTTTGCGATACAGAACGTTTGAATTTCCAGGCTTTTGCGTGACGCGGCATTTGGCTGGCGGCCGGGAAAGCTCCTAAGTGGGTTAAAAACATCACGGATTTTTGTAGATTCTGCTATCTAAACATTCCTTGTCTTAGAATAAATATTGCTGTAATCTTTATGAGTTACTCAAGCGAAGAGATCACGCATAAGTAGGAAAACTTAAAAACAGATGTTTCTGTTGGTTTCCGGCGGCCATAAAAAGTGCCATTGAAAGGGACACAAACATGGCGTCTCGATACAAAAGCTATATAAATTTGGGTAAAACGTTTTTCCGAATATCTCGCATATGTACAATTGCATAGACCTGATTCTTGGCAAGTCTTTTTGTATGTTTATCTTCTTTCATTTCCCAGATTCTGGACTTTCTGTATTAAAAGGCTTCCATTTTTGTTTCTGCTTTCTCACGTGAGTGAAAACCGCGAATAAAAAGGTGTTATGCCAGACTCCTGTGGCTTTACGAACCTGCGGTGAGGGACCCCAGGTAGGTGAGGTTACCCTCTTAGGTGGGGTAACCTGCATTTCAATATAATCTCTCAGTTTAATTTGATCACGTTTACATGATAGGTGGGGTGACGCGCCAAAGCGGGTAGCCCGGTCTGCCAGACCGGGTTACCCTCTCAGCTGGGGTCAAATTTTGCCATGTAAACGTTTCAAGGTGGGGTAACCCGCCTAGCCGGGGTCAGTTGCTTGATACATCAAATTCGCAAAAAATCACTTTGGCGGTGGTTTTGCATCATTATTAAAGGTAACAATAGAGAGCTACAGCCCTGAAGGTTGCAACAAGAGCAGTAAGTGAGCGTTGAAGAACATTAATCAACAAAACACGTGCTTTTCCAGCATTTTTCTTGTTTACGTGCTTAGCCGGACCATTCAATAATCTTGAGAAAGTGCAACCAGGGATGGCGGGGTTGTAAGATTGCATGTAAGGGAGGGTTATGTTTTTACCTCACCTATCTCAGGTCCCCCACTTCGATGTAAAGAGGCCCAATGGCTCTCTGCGCTGTTTGAAATGGTTTCAAGAACATGTGATGTAAGGTACGATGGTATTTAATTTTCATTTCATAACTCGGGTTTCGAAAACAAGGTAGCGTTGTTTCCTTTTCCTCTCTCGCTCGCTCTAGGCTTGAAATTCGCTTTTTTTTCCCCTTATTTTATCGTTTGCTGGTTAGATTTTTTCCCCAACATCAAATTTTCCAGGGGCACCCAATGACGGTTTTCTCCTAAATACATTAAAAACTCTTTTTAGGCTATCAAGAATACTTTTATATCTTTAGAAAAGCATTAATTATAAAATTTGCATCTGTTCGATAATCCAAGGGGAACTTGAGTATTTTCGAAATTACAAGGGCTTCAGTAATATTTATCCGAAAATTTTAGATGCGGTTTAATGTTTTACAAAAGTTAGATTTTTTCTTAATCCCCTCTCCATCGTAGCTTTCCTTTTTTCTACGAAAATTAGCCCAACATGAGGAGTAACAAATGAGAAGTTAAATTTCAGAAAATGATAGGACATTTATTACATAAGGTTCGAAAATTGTACCTGAATGGAACAGTCATCTAGAAATTTCTAGTCGTCCTCAAGCAAAAGAAAATTCTAGGCAATATTTCCTTCTCCGAACGTATAATTTAAAGAAAGCAGTCGTTGGGTGCCCCTGATTTTCCAACAGAAGCGACTATATTTTTCGTATCAAGCTTTCCTTATCTCCTCGTGTAATCT